CACTATTCCTCCCACTGATACCAATGATGGGGCACTATTCCTCCCACTGATACCAATGATGAGGCACTATTCCTCCCACTGACACCGATGATGGGGCACTATTCCTCCCACTGACACCGATGATGGGGCACTATTCCTCCCACTGATACCGATGATGGGGCACTATTCCTCCCACTGATACCGATGATGGGGCACTATTCCTCCCACTGACACCGATGATGGGGCACTATTCCTCCCACTGACACCGATGATGGGGCACTATTCCCCCACTGACACCGATGATGGGCACTATGGGGCCCACTGACACCGATGATGGGGCACTATTCCTCCCACTGATACAATGATGGGGCACTATTCCTCCTCCCACTGACAGCAATGATGGGGCACTATTCCTCCCACTGATACCAATGATGGGGCACTATTCCTCCCACTGATACCAATGATGAGGCACTATTCCTCTCCCACTGACACCGATGATGGGCACTATTCCTCCCACTGACACCAATGATGGGGCACTTCCTCCTCCCACTGATACCGATGATGGGGCACTATTCCTCCCACTGATACCGATGATGGGGCACTATTCCTCCCACTGACACCGATGATGGGGCACTATTCCTCCCACTGATACCGATGATGGGGCACTATTCCTCCCACTGACACCAATGATGGGGCACTATTCCTCCCACTGATACCAATGATGGGACACTATTCCTCCCACTGATACCAATGATGGGGCACTATTCCCCCCCACTGACACCAATGATGGGGCACTATTCCTCCCACTGATACCAATGATGGGACACTATTCCTCCCACTGATACCAATGATGGGGCACTATTCCTCCCACTGACACCAATGATGGGGCACTATTCCTCCCACTGACACCAATGACGGGGCACTATTCCTCCCATTGACACCAATGACGAGCACTATTCCTCCCACTGACACCAATGACGGGGCACTATTCCTCCCACTGACACCAATGACGGGGCACTATTCCTCCCACTGATACCAATGATGGGGCACTATTCCTCCCAATGACACCAATGATGGGGCACTATTCCTCCTACTGCAAAAATTACAGTTATGAAGTAGCAACGAAAATAATTTTATGGGGGTCACCACAACATGAGGAACTGTATTAAGGGGTCGCGGCGCTAGAAAGGTTGAGAACCACTGCTTTAAATGGTTTCTCAGTCTGGTTCAGTAGGAATCACAATCATGGGAAAGACTGCTGACCTGACACCATCACTGACACCCTCCATAAGGAGGGAAAGCCTCAAAGGGAATTGCAGAAGAAGTTGGATGTTCCCAAAGTGCTGTATCAAAGCACATTAATAGAAAGTTATGTGGAGGGGAAAAGTGTGGAAGAAAAAGGTGCACAGCAGCAGGGGATGACCGCAGCCTGGAGAGGATTGTCAGGAAAAGGCCATTCAAAAGTGTTGGGGACTTTCACAAGGAGTGGACTGAGGCTGGAGTCAGTGCATCAAGAGCCACCACACACAGACGGATCCTGACATGGGCTTCAAATGTCGTATTCCTCTTGTCAAGCCGCTCCTGAACAATAAACAACGTCAGAAGCGTCTTACCTGGGCTAAAGAAAAAAAGACCTGGTCTGTCCTCAGTGGTCCAAAGTCCTCTTTTCTGATGAGAGCAACTTTTGCATCTCATTTGGAAACCAAGGACCCCGAGTATGGAGGAAGAATGGAGAGGCCCAAGGACCCCGAGTATGGAGGAAGATGGACAGGCACAAGGACCCGAGTATGGAGGGCAAGAATGGAGAGGCACAAGGACCCCGAGTATGGAGGAAGAATGGAGAGGCACAAGGACCCTGAGTATGGAGGAAGAATGGAGAGGCCCAAGGACCCCGAGTATGGAGGAAGAATGGAGAGGCACAAGGACCCCCGAGTATGGAGGAAGAATGGAGATGCCCAAGGACCCCGAGTATGGAGGAAGAATGATGGAGAGGCCCAAGGACCCCGAGTATGGAGGAAGAATGGAGAGGCCCAAGGACCCCAAGTATGGAGGAAGAATGGAGAGGCACAAGGACCCAGAGTATGGAGGAAGAATGGAGAGGCACAAGGACCCCGAGTATGGAGGAAGAATGGAGAGGCACAAGGACCCCGAGTATGGAGGAAGAATGGAGAGGCACAAGGACCCCGAGTATGGAGGAAGAATGGAGAGGCACAAGGACCCCGAGTATGGAGGAAGAGATGGAGAGGCACAAGGACCCCGAGTATGGAGGAAGAATGGAGAGGCACACACTGCAAGATGCTTGAAGTCCAGTGTGAAGTTTCCACAGTCTGTGTTGATTTGGGGAGCCATGTCATCTGCTGGTGTTGGCCCACTGTGCTTCATTAAGTCCAGGGCAAATGCAGCCGTCTACCAGGAGATTTTGGAGCACTTCATGCTTCCTTCTGCAGACGAGCTTTATGGGGATGCTGACTTCATTTTCCAGCAGGACTTGGCTCCGCCCACACTGCCAACAGCACCAAAACCTGGTTCAATGACCGTGGGATTACTGTGCTTGATTGGCCAGCAAACTCACCTGACCTGAACCCCATAGAGAATCTATGTGTCAGGAATGGACTCAGCACTGGTGGTGGGACTCACCTGCCGTGTGGGCTGCAGTACCAGGGCTGACCAGCGGGTGCTCTCAGCAGCCAGAAGCTCACTCCTGCAATCAGCCAACACCTGGGGCTGATTGCAGGAGGTGTATTTAAGAAACGGCCAGACCTGCAGTCAGTGCCTTGGTGTATGTTTCCCATGAGCCCCTGTACCTTGTATCCTGTGTTCCTGTTCCTCTGCCTATCTGATTTGTTGCCGACTCTGCATTGTTCCTGACCCTGCTGACCGTCTCCTGTTTAATCCCTGGCTTGCCTGACCATCCTTCTGCCTGGTCCTCTGTACCGCGCTGCCCGTGAGTTACTGAACCCGGCTTGTGACCCTGACCATTCTCTGCCTGCTCCTTCGGTACCTCACTGCCCGCACGTTGCTGACCTGGCCTGCCTGACTATGCCTTACGCTACCCAGACGATCCATCCATCCTGCACGGATCCAGCCATCTCTGCTCACACCTTCTGCCTCTTCACATCAGGCTTCCTACCTGCATATACCTCTGGTGGATCCCTCTACCATGAGCAGGTGTACTCAGGGGCCGCGACCTGGTTCCTGTCTGCTCCAAGTCCATCCCCACCATCAGGGGCCCTGGTGAATAAGCAGACTGGGACTTAGACTCCGCGCCCTGGGGAATCCTGTCCTGAGGACTGCTAGGGGTACCACCAGACAGTCATTAACAGAACCCTACGGCCGGCCTGACCCTTCCATCTCTCCAGCCCTGACTGCGCCTGTGTTCCTGCACATACTAAGATTAGTGGAAGGTTGGTTTATTTACTACGTTGTATATTTGGGTGGCTAATAATAAATTATATTATTATATCATTCCTGAAGCCTGTTACTTCCCTGTGTCAGTCCACACATTTCTGGTCATACCCGGATCCCTGACACTATGGGGCATTGCCAAGAGAAAGATGAGAGACATGAGACCGAACAATGCAGAAGAGCTGAAGGCCGCTATTGAGGACAACTTCCGCTTCCGATCGCCTAGGCGATTGCAGTGGGAGCGGGGACCTGTCAATTTAGGTACCCACTCCCCCCCCCCCACTCCCCAAAGGTGCCAACCCTTAATGGGGAGCGGGGGTCCAGTATTTGTAGCGGAACTTCCCCTTTTGGGTGGAGCTCCGATTTAAGGAGATCAAAGTAAAAGAAATAGTGCAAACACAAAAGTAATAACAGGAAGTGCGTACGGCCACTAAATACTCGACCAGGTTCAGCCAAATCATCAAACACATTACCACTTAACAACATACCCAAAATGTCCTGCAGGAACAGAGTTTGAACGCCAATCCCCGCACTGAGATATCTTCCCCAAAAACGGGCTGTACTAGGCTATCAAGAATTTGTGCTAACTCACTTTCGGGTTCTCAGTTGTCTGGGAACAGGGATGAGCTAGAGGATGAATATACAGATGCCACTGTCCCCTTCAGAAGAGCACTGGGTACAGCTTGTAGGAGGAGTTTTCATTCTGCTCTAGGAGCATGCAGAACCCCTGACCTCTGTCTGGACAGTGTTGATTGGCCCTGTGCTGATCACATGCACCTTCCCAAGAAAAAAACAAACCTCTCTAGCAATACACACCAAACTGAGCATGTGTACTTCACTAGGGATTCAGTCTGTATCAGGGGGTCATTTCAACAAGAGGAGGGGCAGAGAAGACAGGACAGGATCAAACAGCCATTTTACATAATGCAGAGGGCGAACCCCTTAGGTTCCAAAGTGAGTATAACAAGCATGCTTTACTGCATCTACAGACTGATTGTACACCACCTTCTTTATTCATCTGGCTGTTTACTACAAAATTGATGTTATAGGGTTTTAATTATATTTTATTTGTTGCCATGACGACTAACACTAATTCTGACGTATCCCTGCTTATTGCTATCTCTCTTACCTTCTAACTAACAAGCACCATATTTCGTTTTATTGCAGTTCTGAGGACGGTGATGACAAAGCGGCACATGCTAAATAATGAGGAGATATCCGTGTACCCATATTACCCATCCATTGGTCATTGCTTGTATGGGAAGGAAGGCCCTCATATGGAAATACCTGATTCAGTAGAAATCCCCATCAGCCCACATATACTGGCATTCATTTTGAGGAATGAACAGATAAAACTAAATGTTGAAAAAGCAATGGCGGATATTTACTGTGAAATCACTTGGCCAAATTTAGACCTCCCCAATCCTGTCATCAAACTGTCTTTGCCCAGCACTCTCTCCAGTCATCTACGAACCTTGGCAAAGATAGTTCCAACATGGAGTGATAAAGTCCACAAAAAGTTTAAAGCTTCTATTTCAAAGTATAAGGCAGCAGAGTGCGACCTGAAGCCACCAGTGTGGGAAGCCATCAAAGAAAAGATGTCTAGCTCATCATATGATGGAGTCCTCATAAAACCAGACTTAGCTGCAGAGAAGGTTTTCATTGTGGGTATTTCAGAAGATATTAGGGGGATTGAGCCAATATTCAGACAACTGGTAGAAGAAACCGCTAGACAACTGAGCACAGTGGAAAATGAGGTGCCTCTTGAACCCGAAGCTTATAAATTAATGTTGACACATGGTCTGGAGAGAAGCATCCTAGAAGATTGTCCACATGTGAAGATTAGCTATGATGTAACTTCTAAGGCAGTCAAACTCTGTGGGCCAAAACATGAAGTTCTCACTGCCAAATGTGAAATTCTCAATACTAGACAAAGCTTGAAGTTCAATTGCATTCAACTTGATCCACACATCATCAAGTTTCTGAAGGCAGCGGACAATGAAGACTTGTCATGTAGTCTTCTTATAAAAAACAACATAAAAGCAGCTTTTCAGTTGAAAGATAATGCAGTCATGTTAACTGGTTACTCCGATAAAGATCTGAGAAATGGTGAAGAAACCATGAAGAAGGAATTAGTCTGTAAGCGGATTTCTGTTGAAGATAAAAGTGTCACTCAGAGTCTGGAGTGGAGAAATCTGAAGAGTTTACTACAGGAGATGTTTAATATTGATGGAATGAAGGTTTCCATAGAGGAGTTCCCTGTGAGGGATGGAACTGAGGTTGTGATCACTGGTCTATCCTCAGCTGCCGAAGAAACCTACCAGCAGATCCATAACTTTGTGGGGAAGAACACTTTGGTGGAGAAGGACATCAAGCTGAAGTCAATGGCGGTGTTGCAGTTTATGGAGGAAAAAAGAAGGCAGGAATGGAATGAAATTATACGGAATGTGAAGGTTGTGAAGAAACAGAACTTCATCTCCTTGTCTGGCCCAAAGTTCTATGTAGAGGAGGCAGAAACCAACATAAGAAAAATTATTTCCAAAATGTATTCTGACACCTTAGACATTGATAAACCCGGGGTCAAAAAAATCTTTATTGAAAATGAAGATATGTATGTTACTACAGTATGGAACAATCACAAATGTGTGATACAACTACAGAAGGAGGTCGATGACAGAAGTTCCAATGTAAATGAGCTCCATTGCCAAGTCAGCCTCCAGAATGGAGCCACAATGGTTATATATAAAGGTGATCTGTGCCAACACAATGCTGATGTCATCATAATTGCCTCAAATAAGAATTTAAAGCCAATTGGGGAACCAGCACTGGCTTTGGTGAAAGCAGCAGGACCCAGTCTTCAGAAAGAATGTGAACGCATTGTGCAGGAGGAATGGGGGCTGGGGCCGGGAGAGTGTGTCATAACAGATGTGAGCAATTTATCATGTAAGAAGGTAATTCATGCAATTGCTCCCAAACTGGATAAAAAAGGAAATTCAAAATGTGAGCGTCTTCTACGGAAAGTGATAAATGAGAGCTTGGTGATGGCTGCAGAGAATGGTCAAAGCTCTGCTGCACTTTCTGTTGGTGACTTTGTTACTTTCGGGTGTCCTTTGGATCTGTGTGCCGAAAACATTGTAAAATCCATAAAATCATACACAGAAAGCCAAGAAGGCTTCAACACCATCAAAAACATCCATCTCGTGGACAGTGATGAAGGCATTCTACAGACTATCACTAAATTTGTGAATGAAGAGTTTGAAGGAAGACAAGTCCAGGTTCCTTGGAAACAAGGCAAGAAAAAGAAGAAGAGAGTAGAAATGATGAACAAAGCCAACGATCAAATAGTGACCACCAAGGAAGGGTTGAACATCAATATAAAGCAAGGAAATATTGAAAATGCAACGGTAAGTTCTATTCATTTCAGGTGTCCCTCATCATATTAAACATAAAATAATAACCTCTGTATCAAATAGATGGCTGTATATAGGTTGAACTGTGGCTAAATCTTCAAGGGGGCCGCATGATGTCTGCTGAGGCACTTTGAAACCCAACCTTATAGTAAGAATTGCAACTTACAATCCCAGAAAAAAGAGCCGCAATACTTTCCTGAAGGCTTTACCTTCAACACCATGTAAGGAAGCACATAATCTATCAACAGGTGACCAGCAGGGGGCGGGTTCGTTTTCTTTTTAAATTTGAACTCCGGGTATGGATTTTATTGCATAGTCACATTGATTCAGGTTGGACCAATGTAGATATACAGGTGAAACTCGAAAAGTTAGAATCTGGTGCAAAAGTTTTTATTTCAGTGCAGCAACTTAAAAGCTGAAACTAATATATGAGACTCATTCCATGCAAAGCAAGATAGTTCAAGCCGTGATTTGTCATCATTGTGATGATTGTGGCTTACAGCTCATGAAAACCCCAAATCCACAATCTCAGAAAATGAGAATATTCCATGCAATCAATAAAACACGGATTGTACATAGAACAATATCGCACCTCTGAAAAGTAGAAGCTACATGCCCATGCCCGCCGCTACAGACCTGTAACAGTGTTCCGGCAAGTGCAGGAAAGATGCCGTCGTTGTTCCTTCAGTGCAGCGGCCGGTCGAGGAGGTATCCCTCTTTTGATCTTGGAATGATAACGTCACACATGCCAATAGAGAAAACTGGACTCTAGATATCTGATGTGTAGATAAGACAGGTTCTACCTGCATATTCCTTAAGGAGGTTCTGATCACTGGCAGCAGACTTGGAACATCTGATTCTAATGTAACGGTTTAGAAGTGGCGGTAAATGTAGAGGCATAATATTCTTTTTCCACATGACAAATTTGCATTTTCCATCATTTAGATTATAAGAGTGAATATACCATCAATTAATGGGTCGTTTGTTCAGGTACAGTTGTGTCCAAAATTATTCAACCCCCACTGAAATTGATGTTTTGGCCAGTTTGACATTGCTTTTGATCATTCAGTCATCTTGCTTACATTTACATTAAAGAGGCACTTGTAGGTCAGACAAATATAACATAACAGTTATAATGAAATAACCACAAATGTCTTTTCTGTGCTCACAGCATTATCAGTTTTATTCAACCCCCAAGTGACATTCAATCTTAGTACTTAGTACAGCATCCTTTTACAGTTATAACAGCTTTTAAACGTGAAGCATAGCTTGACACAAGTGTCTTGCAGCGATCTAAAACGGGTATCTTCGCCCATTCTTCATGGGCAAAGGCCTCCAGTTCAGTCACATTCTTAGGCTTGCGCACTGCAACTGCTTTCTTTAAGTCCCACCAGAGGTTCTCAATCGGATTTAAGTCTGGTGACTGCGATGGCCACTCCAAAATGTTCCAGCCTTTCCTCTGCAACCATGCTCTAGTGGACTTGGAGGTATGCTTGGGATCATTGTCCTGTTGAAAGGTCCAACGTCTCCCAAGCCTCAGGTGTGTGACGGACTGCATCACGTTTCCATCCAATATCTCCTGGTACTGAAGAGAATTCATGGTACCTTGCACACGCTGAAGCTTCCCTGTACCTGCAGAAGCAAAACAGCCCCAAAGCATGATTGACCCTCCACCATGCTTCACAGTAGGCAAGGTGTTCTTTTCATCATAGGCCTTGTTCTTCCTCCTCCAAACATAGCGTTGATCCATGGGCCCAAACAGTTCTAATTTTGTTTCATCAGTCCACAGAACACTATCCCACAACTTTTGTGGTTTGTCCACATGGCTTTTGGCATACTGCAGTCGACTCTTCTTATTCTTTGGAGACAGCAAGGGGGTACGCCTGGGAGTTCTGGCACGGAGGCCTTCATTACGCAGTGTGCGTCTTATTGTCTGGGCTGAAACTTCTGTACCCACATCTGACAAATCTTTTCTCAGTTCCTCAGCAGTCACACGGGGACTTCTCTCCACTCTACGCTTCAGGTAGCGCACAGCAGTCGAAGTCAGCATCTTCTTTCTGCCACGACCAGGTAGCGTTTCAACAGTGCCCTTTGCCTTGAATTTGCGAATGATGCTTCCTAAGGTGTCTCTTGGTATGTTTAACATCTTTGCAATCTTCTTATAGCCATTGCCCTTCCTGTGAAGAGAAATCACCTCTTCTCTTGTCTTCCTGGACCATTCTCTTGCCTTCACCATGTTTGTAACCACACCAGTAAATGTCTAGAAGGAGCTGAGTATCACAGTCATTTTAAAGCTGCCTAATTGGTGCTTATTATGCTTGATTGCTGCTCGGTGACATCCACAGGTGTTTTCAATACCTGATGGAAAGCACCTGTATGAACCTCTGTTCTTCAGAGTGGTAGTCTTTAAGGGGTTGAATAATTGTGGCAATGAAGAAACCACATAAGAACCATTTACTACTGTATTACATAAACAATTGATGTCATTTTAGTTGCATTTGGGTAGTTACAACGTCCTTGTAGGATTTGATTCTGAATACAATTCCAAATGTACACTATAGTCCCTAAACCCCTTTACAGCATTGGGGGTTGAATAATTTTGGACACAACTGTATATCAACTTTATTGGCACTATTTAAGTGAAGACCTAATGTTTGCCTCTTCAAATTATAATACGTTTTTTTTTTACAGCGCCAACAGTTTGCTCGGTGCTTTACAAAATAAAAGGGGACAGAGTTGTCCCAGTAGAGTAAAAAAGGTAATAACAGCGAGGGAGGCGAGTGCAAGTACAGCTTTTAGGTGGAGGAGAGATAAGCTTTTCTGAAGAGATGAGTTTTCAGGGACCACCTAAAGGTAGGGGATAGCCCAGCAATGGGCAAACTACGGCCCGGCGGACCGTATACGGCCCGGCGGACCTTTTAATCCGGCCCGCGGAGCTAGGCTCCCGCTAGGCTCCTCTCACAGTCCGCCGTGTAGCGTGAAAATCTGTCTCCTATGAGGATCTGTCCCCCTCGACGTATCTGCGCATGTGCCGGACATCGCCGATCGGCTGCTAATGCCTGAAACTGGCACATGCGCAGATACGTCGAGGGGGACAGATCCTCATAGGAGACAGATTTTCATGCTACACCGGAACGGCGCGGGAACACGGCGAGAGGAACGCACGGAGCAAAGGTAAGTGAATTGACACAGGGGGGACTTGGGGACTTAATATGGGGAATGAATTACTATATGGGGGATGAATTACTATAGGGGGGGTGAATTACTATGGGGGATGAATTACTATATGGGGGATGAATTACTATATGGGGGATGAATTACTATGGGGGATGAATTACTATGGGGGATGAATTACTATGGGGGGATGAATTACTATATGGGGGATGAATTATTATATGGGGGATGAATTACTATGGGGGATGAATTACTATGGGGGGGGATGAATTACTATAGGGGAGATGAATTACTATGGGGGATGAATTACTATGGGGGATGAATTACTATATGGGGGATGAATTATTATATGGGGGATGAATTACTATGGGGGATGAATTACTATGGGGGGGGATGAATTACTATAGGGGAGATGAATTACTATGGGGGATGAATTACTATGGGGGATGAATTACTATATGGGGGATGAATTACTATGGGGGATGAATTACTATGGGGGATGAATTACTATATGGGGGATTAATTACTATGCTTACTATGGGGGAATATTACTATACTTACTATGGATGACATATACACATCATTCATCTACTCTTGGTCCGGCCCCCGGGTCCAATATATGCCCTCAAGTCAAAAAGTTTGCCCACCCCTGGGATAGCCGGACAGACTGGGGTAGGGAATCCCATAGAATGGGAGAGACTCTAGAGATGTCCTGGAGGAGAACTTGGGAGGTGGAGACAGTGGGGAACGAAGTACAGAGTTAAGGTAGAAGAGAGTTCATGAGGACTGGATGGGAGGGCGTTAATGAGAGTGATGAAGTAGGTTTGTTTAGCAGCCAGAAGGTAGAAGTTGTATTTTAAGAGGGAAGATTTGTATAAGTGGAAGTCTTTCAGGGCTTTAGCTTCACGTCAATGTCACATAAGCGCACAGCTTTATCTTTTGAGACTTCTGGTGTCATTTGTTTGCCAAGGTTGCAGCAAGGCCTGGTTCTGCATGTAGAGAGGGGACGAAGTGTCTCCAAGTGGGATGGACGTGAGCTGCTGTAGATAGAGGTGGCTAGGTAAGGGTAGAGCAGGCATGAGATTTTGTCCTTAAGGCAATCAGTAGCAGAACGGAGAAGGGAAGGGATAAAGTGGTCTAGGTTTCAATGGGTAACAATTTGTTGGCCGAGGGATAGGGGACCGAAGACAGGAAGAGTGTGAAACTGATAAGGTTGTGATCAGAGAGAGTAAAAAAAGTGCTAGAGAGGTTCCATGGAGAGCAGAGGTGGGAAAATTCAGTTGTTGGCGGAATACGTAGCTGTGTGTCCATTGTCTTAGGTTTAAAGAAGAGGTTAGGTTGAATAGTTAAGAGGTGGCTGGGGTATTACCATTGACTGGAATGTTAAAGTCACCGAGTTTGATGCTGGGGAGGAGAGAAAGAAGGGTAGCCAAGCAGAGAAGTCAATGCGGAAGCATGGCACTGGTCTAGGAGGCTAACATAGCACTGCAGTCTTCGAAGAACCAGAGAAATCAGACCAATACAATGAGCCTCAAAGGAGGGAAGTGTAGGAAGAACTTAACCATTTCCCGTCCGGCCCATGTAGATAAATGTCAACCCCCTTCGGCAGCGCTCCTTCCGTTATAATACTTCTGTTATAATACCGCTTCCCCGTCCGAACACCGGCCACAGACACCACTGCAGACCATACAAGACTAGACAACACCAGTCTGGAAGTAAGCCAGGAACTAGACTACTTTATCACAGATACAAGATATATACATTCAAGGGAACAACCCCCCCTCCCTGCATAATGACACAGGGCGGGGCAGTCTATCTTTAGTAACAAGAGACACACCAACAGACAGTGCCATCAGGAGGGAGGGCCGTTGGAGACACCCCCCACCAAGCCAATACACACAAACACATACATCCCATAATAGTTTGCTCCCAAGCAAGACACACAATAGAACAATGGGATGCAACCACATGGCATTAAACAATCCCTATTCACAACCCCCACCCCAACATTAGGACAGATCATACTGTACCCCTAACAGGCACAGGGTGACTTACACATAAGTGGGATATGGGGAGCTGAAACAGGCGTCTCCCCACCTCTCCAAAGTGAGCTGTGTTCCATGGGCCCCCCACCCAAAGTGACTCCTGTCACACAGCTTGCACAGTATTTCTCAATGGCTGCAGGAATGCAGCCAGAGAGACAGATAAATTATTGCTTTTACAGTCTTTTTGGGTATAAAAGCAAACGGTGTAAAAAAAGAAAAAACAAATCTTCATCACCCCCCACAAGTAGTACAGTGTCACTATGGTGACACTGTACTGGTAGGGTGGCAGTATGTTAACATTTTTTATAAATAAATAATAATATAGAAAAATAAATTAAAAATGTTAAAAAAATTTTTTGAAAAATTATAATTTTTGGTTATAAACTAATTTTGGTTATTTTTTTTAAAGATAGATGCATACATTTTGGCCAAGATTTATAAAGAAAGATTATTTATTTGCAAAATTTTATAAGAAAATGTTTTTTTTTTTCAAAATGTTTGGACTTTTTCATTCCTAGATTGTAAGCTCCAAGGATCAGGCCCTCCTAACCCTCTTGTATTGAACTGTATTGTTGCTGTATTGTTTCCTGTTATATTGTAAAGCGCTGAGCGAACTGTTGACGCCATAAATCCTGTATAATAATAATAATATAGCAAAAAAAAAAAATCCCAGTGGTGAATAAATACCACCAAAATAAAGTTTTATCTGTCTCAAAAAAAGGTCATATGGGTATAGTGTTGCATGACCGCGCAATTGTCATTCAAAGTGTGATAGCGCTGAAAGCTGAAAATTGGCCTGGACAGAAAGGGGGGAGGGGGGGGGGGGGGGAAGTGTCCGGTCTTGAAGTGGTTAAAAGGGGCTTTGTGTGGAAAGCATGAACCCAACTCCATCTCCTTTTGGTCCACTGGTTCTGGGTGAGTGAATCTGGTGGAGGGCAGCGTGGTTGAAGGCAGCTGGAGAGACCGAGTCAGATTCCTGAAGCCAGTTTTCAGTAATAGCAGGTAGGTTGAAGGCGTTAGATATATAAAGGTTGTTCAGATATGTTGAAAAGTCAACAATTCCATTGGGGTGTACTCCCAATTTCAAAGGACTGTAATCGGTGGTCTTTTAGTCAGTAAGTTCTTTAACCGCTGACTCTTATTGGATTTGCCAGTAATGATGTTCTTCTTTCTGTAGACCAAAGTAGTTGTGAACAGTGTGGGGAGGGACCTCGACCTTCTTTCTGGAGCTGTGTCCAAGGCTTTGTTCAAGAAGGCCGGAAACAAGGACCTTCAGGATCTTCTGAATGTAGAGAAACGGGGGCGGTCGGTGGCAGACGGCTCCATATTTGTTACCGATGGCTGTAAACTGTCCTGTGAATTGGTTATCCATGTTGTGGTTCCAGAGTGGAATGGTGCAAATGGCTCTTCTGAGAAGGTATGGAAATATAGGAGAGATTGCGCCTCTCAGCTACTAGAAGATTTGACAATCTTTCATAAAATGGAACTAGTTGTAGCATTTGGCCTGTTCACTGAGACCCCAGAGAAACCAATTATATATGCAATTTAAAGGTTCTAAAGGCATTTTTTAAAATAGCAAAAATGTTATACTTACCTGTTCTGTGTACTGGTTTTACACAGAGCAGCCCCGATCCTCCTCTTCTCGGGTCCCTGCTTGTGACTCCTCCCCCCTGCTGAGGGTTCCCATGGCAAGCCGCTTGCTTAATATTTAAATTGCTACCATTAGTTTTTAATATCCATCCATCTATCCATCCATACTTTTGTCCGGTTATCCATCCGTAGCCAAGTGCTGGACTACAAAAACATGGAGAAGGAGAGACATGGTCTTCTTGATAGTGAACTTTCACTTTCTACTGACATGTTGGATTTCTGATGCACTATGCTCTCCAGACAGCAGGGGGAAAGCTATAGCCAGGAGAGCCCATGGACATCTATGCAGGACGCTGAGGATGATGGGAATTAAAGACATCAGTCATAGAATAGGACTCATGGACTTTCATACTACAGTTCCCATAGGACCCTGAGGAAGAAGGGGATGAGTGGAATAGCCTTTTAACAGACTGAATTGAGAGCTTCTTTCTCTTGGCAGTGGGAAGTCGAGGTGAACACATCTGATTGTGTGCCCACACATCATAAGGAAGCCAAGCCAGCAGGGACTAGAGCCTGAGCCCTAAAGGGGTCGGCAATGGGGGGAGGCCCAGTTAGGGTGGCCACCTTTTCTTCAAGCCAAACCCAAACACTTTAGTGGCATACAGCTAATTTTTTGTTTGTAGTATATACAATACATATACTGTATTTTGTGTTTAAATAACATTTCTAATCATATGGAATTATTCACAAGAGTCCCTCTTACATCAGAATTCACAGAGTTCCCATTTAGATCTGAATCTGCAGTGTTCCCCTTTACATCTGAATCCACAGAGTTCCCTCTTTACATCTGAATCCACAGAGTTTCCCCTTACAGCTGAACTGGCACTGTAAGGGGAGACTCTGCAGACTCTGATGAAAGGGATGATCTGGGAACCCTGATTTAAGAGGGAACACTGAGAACTCTGGTGTACAAAGAGGACTGCTGCGGACTCTGGTGTAAAGGGGAACTCTGATGTAAGGGGGGCTCTGATAGCCAGAGCCCCCACTTACATCAGAGATGCCAGCATTCCCCTGTAATCAGGGTTTCCAGAGCCCCCCTTACATAAGGGTCTGCAGAGTTCCCCCTTACATCTGAGTTGTAACGGAACCGTTACCTGACCGCACTTGGGTATATTCTGTTATACCGCAGCTTCCCCTGTCCGAACAGCATCCACAGACCACACCCTTGAAATCCCTCAGGAAATAGACAGCACCCAGCTCTTCTTAAAACAGGAAGCCAACAACTTTATTTTACACAAACAACATGTTATATACAGAGGGCGGGGAAAGACAACCAGGGACAGGAAACACATCATCAGCCCTCCCCATCAGTGGGAAGGGCTACAGTATAGGCAGGAAACACCTCATAACCCCTCCCCATCCAACCAAGACACAGAACAATGGGATGAAGCACATGGCATAGAACAATAGGCAACCACATGCTAGTACAAGACAGGAACACATGCATCCCATAATAGTTTGCTGGCCAGCAAGGCACAGCACAATGGGGGGTAGCACATGGCAAACAGACAATGGACAACCATGTGACCGAGAACAAAGGAACACACACTATACACAAGACTCAGACATTCACATACACACCCTGTACCCCTTAACAGGCACAGGGTGACTTAAACATAATGGGAATTTGGGAAGATGATACAGAGGTCCCCCCACCCCCAAAAGTCACTCCCGTCACATGAGTCTTCAGAGTTCCCTGTTACATCTGAGACTGCAGAGTTCCCTCTTACATCTGAGCCCACATAATTAGGCCCCTTTCACACTGAGGGCCCAAACAGGTCCACCTGTCAGTTTTTTAGGCAGACCTGTCAGACTATCCATAGACCTCTATGGACTGACAGGTGTCCGCTGATACCCCGCTAGCATCCGATCCGATCCTGTACGCCAAAAACAGATAGATGAGGATTGTTCACCATCCATCTGAAAGGATCGGTTTGGATGACAGTTGAGTGGAAACGGACAGGTGGTCTATTTCCATTCGACTGCCCACTAGAAGACAGCGGGCTGTGTCTGTATTCGCTCTGCAGCAGCGGAGAGGGACACGGACCCGTCATCCTCCTGCTCTGCAGGGATCAGCTGAGCAGACTGATCCACTGATGGGTCCGCCCTATCTAAAAGGGGACTTACATTGTAAGGGACTCTAATGTAAAAGGGAACTCCGATGTAAGGGGTGCTCTGGAAACCATCCATCCATCCACCAACCATCCATCCACCATCCTTCCATCTGTCCACCATCCCTCCGTCCAACATCAATCTGTCCACCATCCATTCATCCACCATTCATTCGTCCACCATCCTTCCATCTGTCCACCACCATCCATCTGTCCCCCATCCTTTCATCCGTCCACCATCTATCTGTCCACCATCCTTCCTCAAGTCTACCTTCTTCTCATCTGCCCACCATCCTTCCATCTGTCCACCACCTATCTGTAAACCATCCATCCATCCACCAACCATCCATCCACCATCCTTCCATCTGTCCACCATCCCTCCGTCCACCATCAATCGGTCCACCATCCATTCATCCACCATTCATTTTTCCACCATCCTTCCATCTGTCTGCCACCATCCATCTGTCCACCATCCTTTCATCCGTCCACCATCCACCATCCTTCCTCAAGTCTACCTTCTTCTCATCTGCCCACCATCCTTCCATCTGTCCACCACCTATCTGTAAACCATCCATCCATCCACCAACCATCCATCCACCATCCTTCCATCTGTCCACCATCCCTCCGTCCACCATCAATCGGTCCACCATCCATTCATCCACCATTCATTTTCCACCATCCTTCCATCTGTCTGCCACCATCCATCTGTCCACCATCCTTTCATCCGTCCACCATCCTTTCATCTGTTCACCATCCTTTCATCTGTTCACCATCCTTCCATCTGTCCACCATCCATCTGTCCACCATCCTTCCATCCATCATCCCTCCATCTGTCCACCATCCATCTATCCATCTGTCCACCATCCATCTGTCCATCATCCATCTGTCCACCACCTATCTGTAAACTCTCCGTCCGTCCACCAACCATCCATCCACTATCCTTCAATCTATCCACCATCCCTCCATCCACCATTCTTTCATCCACCATCCTCTTCTGTCATCCACCATCCTTCTGTCCACCATCCTTTCATCTGTCCACCATCTTTCATCTGTCCACCATCCTTTCATCTGTCCACCATCCTTTCATCCGTCCACCATCCTTTCATCCGTCCACCATCCTTTCATCCGTCCACCATCCTTTCATCCGTCCACCATCCTTTCATCTGTCCACCATCCTTTCATCTGTCCACCATCCTTCCGTCTGCAATCCTTCTGTCCACCATCCTTCCATCTGTCCACCATCCATAACTATACAACTCTTATCTGTTGACAGATTATGAGAAAAATAGTAAATGATTGTCTGAGCATCACAGAAACCAAACAATGCAGATCCATCACAATCCCAGCAATTGGAACTGGAGTACAAGAATTTCCCAGGAATACTGTGGCTGCGTTAATGTTTGAGGAGATTCTGGAGTTTAGCAGCAGAAATCAGCTCCAGTATCTGAGACAAGTGAATTTCATGCTGCACCCGAGTGACCCGGAAACTATAGAGGTAATGTAGAGTCTTCATGTGATCATGGTTCAATATATTTATTATAAATTGTAAAACAGAACACAAATAATAAATCAATATGTGGACATGATTATGCTTACAGAACAGAAAGGGCCATTTCTTGAAAGATGTAGTCCAAGAGACTGAGGGCCCGATTGTTTGAGTCAAACCGTGTACTTGGAGAAGTCAAGATACCGAGGGCCAATAAGAAAACGTTATCAGTATTGTGGCAGTGCGGTATCCTGCCACGGTGAAAATCACGGTGATAACCCAGGATTCTCAACTATACAGGTTGAGGGGCTCCAGGCAGTTCTCTTAATGCAGAGGAAACTGGTTTATCAGTTTCCTCTTTGGTTTGTAAAGCCCGTTTGGGACCTGTGGCCTGGAGATTTCTAAGAGATTTGGGAGGGATCCCCGGCACCACAGAACCCCATATTCCTGCAAAGTTGTACGATTTTATGGTTCTCTCGCTCTAATGAGCAATTTTAGAGTAGAATATCATTCTGTATTTTTTATTTCAGGCTTTCTCCTCTGAGCTGGAGAAGAAGATCAGCGCTGGAGGACAGAAGAAAGAAGAAAAACCACAATGTAAGTTACATCCGTGCTATGTACAGGAACATCATGGACTCCATGTACTGCAGACTTTGGGGTTGATCTCCTTTTCCCCAGAGCTTAGTGATAAAGCTCTGCTGATTTCCACCATCCAATCATGTGCAAACAAAAATGCATTTTTTTTTTAAAATTTCCCTTGCACCTGATTGGGTACTCACGACAAAGTGAAACCAGGGGCGGACTGACCATTCGGGCATTCGGGCACTGCCCGAGAGCCCGCGGTAAGTAGGGGGACCCATGAGATGCCCCTGGTACCTTTTATAGGCTTTTTTTGGGTGTGCTTTGAGTGTGAGCAAGGATACAGGGGTCCCATGATCCCCTATTGCCCTGGGGCCCCATAAGTTGTCAGTCCGCCCCTGAGTGAAACTTCCAACACTTTTAAATGTACTAATGTAGAGCTACCCCCATAGGAGCTGCTGGCAGTATTGGGTCCTCTGCTCTTTTCCTTGGCCCTAGGCGGAACCTCACTCCTATTGATACCATTTCTGGGGCCTCCCGGCCAATGGTGTATTTAGGATTTGTGCTGCCCTAGGCAACACAAAAATCAGATTCCCCCCCGCGGAGAGCCTGACATTGAACAACAACATCTCTGCCCCCACCCGGAGAGAAAAAAGTCACTCACCTTTACAGCTCCGGACATCCATGGGAATGAGAGTCAGGTTCTGCATACACCATCAAGCAGTCGGCAGCCTCTCTCTGCTCCCACCTGGTCCCCATGCCACAAGTGTCCCTTCTTCAAAGTAAAAACACCACCCTAGGCAACGGCCTTGTTTGCCTTGTGGTAAATATGGCCCTGCTCCCGGCAGGTACAAAAGAAGGGAAATCACTGACTGTGGTAAAGCAAACGGCTTGTATTGACGACACTAGAGTGGTGGGGTAATACAGCAGTTCAGAGGTTCAAAGTTAACACACAAGGAAAAGGCAATAACAATACAGTGCAGTGAACACCAGCAACGTATAAAAGTGAGACTAAATATGTAGTGCAGCACCAAGAGTGTAAACAGCAGCTCTCTGACTGGAAGGTCCCACTCCAAGTGACTTCAGATGGCTATCAATAGTACAGGAAGCTAGTTATTATTATTATACAGGATTTATGGCGCCAACAGATTGCTCAGCTCTTTACAATATAACAGGAGACAATACAGCAACAATACAGTTCAATACAAGAGCGATAGGAGGGCCTGATCCTGGGAGCTTACAATCTAAGAGTTCACTTAGGAACTGTCAGTTGGGAGAGCCTAGGCTTAGGCCTGAAAATCTGTGAAATCCCCTGCACACCAGAGGTGCTACAGGCAGACCCCTGAGTCTGAATAGTTCTTTGATATAGGCTTGTGCCGGCACAGTTGGGACCCTTAATGTTGGCGTGCAAAGCAGGGTTGTCACGTACCTGGATAGTGAGCCTGACTTGAAGAGGCAGGCCTGGTGGGACACCGGCCACAAGGCCATAGTGGGGTATGAGTGCCTGTGACCAGTCCAGTAGCAGCTGGTAGGCAGGTTAGCTGAAGGGCAGGCTGAAGGCAGGGAGCAGGATCCGGATGCAGCCGTGCTGGGTGGGTGGATCACTGAGGAGTGCGTTTGAGGATGCAGGGTCAGGCGAGCCGGGTTCAGTAGCGGTCGGGCAGATCAGGCATAGACGTCAGGAGAAAGCGTAGTCGGGTCACAGGCCAGGTCAGCAGCAGAAGGAGCGGGAGACAGAAGGGTAATCCAAGGCAAGCCAGAGGTCAAGGCAGGTAGCGCTCTAGCGGAGGTCAGAGCAGGTAGTGGACAAGCAGAGGTCAGGGCAGGTAGTGGTCAAGCGGTGGTCAGGAACAAGCTGGTTTGGTATCAGGAGTCAATCACAGGAATCAGGGAACACAAGCAAGGATAAGACCAAACAGCAATGAGACATTTACTGCAGCCAGTTTAAATAGTCCCTTTGACGCCAGCATTAGTGACAGGCGTGCGCCGGGATGCACGCATGCGCGCCTGTGCCCAAGCACCCGCACATCTGCCCGGTTCATCATAGTTCTGCGCATGCACTATGGGCAGGCCTTTCCTGACAAGGGTGATGATGTTTTAAGATGAGGAGTCAATGGGGATGTTCACTTTAAGATGTGAGGTTAATGAGGAACTTCCATAAAGAAGGACTGGACGTAGTCAGTAGGAATGACCTGATGTTGAGTGTGCTAAGCAGAAAGAGATCTTATAATCCACCTGGATCCAGTCCAGGGATCACCCCACCAAGCATCTAGAGCAGGGGTGGGCAAACTTTTTGACTTGAGGGCCGCAATGGGTTCATATATTGGACCCGGGGGCCGGACCAAGAGTAGATATAGTAATAGTAATTCATCCCCCATAGTAATTCATCCCCCATAGTAATTCATCCCCCATAGTAATTAATCCCCCCATAGTAATTCATCCCCCATATAGTAATTCATCCCCCCGTATAGTAATTCATCCCCCATAGTATTCCCCATAATCATCCCCCATATAGTAATTCATCCCCCCCATATAGTAATTCATCCCCCTATAGTAATTCATTCCCCAATAATAATTCATCCCCCATATTAATTCATCCCCCATATAGGAATTCATCCCCCCTATAGTAATTCATCCCCCTATAGTAATTCATCCCCCATATAGTAATTCATCCCCCATAGTAATTCATCCCCCATAGTAATTCATCCCCCCTATAGTAATTCATCCCCCATAGTAATTCATCCCCCATAGTAATTCATCCCCCATATAGTAATTCATCCCCATAGAAATTCATCCCCCATATAGTAATTCATCCCCCCTATAGTAATTCATCCCCCCTATAGTAATTCATTCCCCATATTCCCCTGTGTCAATTTACTTACCTTTGCTCCGCGCGTTCCTCTCGCCGTGTTCCGTTCCGGTCTTCAGGGCGGACTGTGAGAGGAGCCTAGCTCCCCTCACGTTCGTCACGCTGCCCCGCCTACACACATCCTGACAGCCATCCTGACAGTATCACGCTCCGCGGGCCGTAGTTTGCCCATTGCTGATCTAGAGCTACCTCACTCTGTACAGGGACAGACATATTTCCTGCTGGCTTTCACTTCAGGTTGACTGACCCCCCATTAGGGAGCTCAGCAACCTCACAGAAGTGAGTAGATTGCAATTTATCTTTTAGTCATTTATTTCATGCAACTATCCGACAAAACTACTACACCATACGGAACTCTCCCACAGTCTCTGTCTCTTTTTTTCCTTTTTTCCCCTCCTTTTTGGAAGCACTCCAGATAATCCAGTTCAGCATTCTGGGTTCAGTGGGCAGTTTTAATGTAGAAAAGGTGGCAGTTTACAGTCATGGAAGGCAGCAATGTGTTTTAACTCTTATTTTTGGACAGCGTCAGTCCAGGTAGGTCTGTGTAGGCAACAAGAACTAACTGTAATGTATTGCAGTGAAGTGGGAGGGGTGGTGATGCTCTCACCAAAGCCTTCTGTGGCAATCCCGAGAAGAATACAAGTTATCATGTGGTGGGGGAGGCACCTTAATGGCTGTGGCGATCTGGATACATGCACTTTATACAGTGGCTCCAGATGTTGAAGGATCTCCCCAGAGTTGTCTCCTCAGCTCAGTGCTCAGCTCAGCAGTCTCTGTGGAATGCAGCTTGACCTGGCCTGGTCTGGACATCACAGCTCAGAACAGTCACACACACTCCTTGTTGGCACATCTCTCCCCAAGTGCCTCAGTTCCTTTCCGGCCTTTTCCTTTTATATTGTCCCTTTCCTTGGCTGGTGCTTATGGGCTTTCTAGTTGTGACTTCAGCTTCACTGTATCTTCTGTCCAGACTACATCTCCCAGAATGCTCTGAGTGCTTGTATTAAGGCTATGGTGAAGCAATTAGAGGTCTGCATCCTCAGTAACAATGCACAGTGTTACATAAAGAAGACATTGCGATGTGTCTTTTTGCCTTTAGTAACCTGACTGTGTCTCGCTGTACCGTTGGAATGTGGAAAGCCACCAATGGGGCCATGTGTACTGGACTGCTTTTGCTGAATGCAGAGTTCTTCAACACTTTCATTACATTTAAGCAGTAGGGTTTTTGACAGACCGGAATAGTTTCAAACAAAAACTGTTTTTTTGGGGCTCACGCAGGGTAAATGTTTGGTCAGAGTCAATCAAAATATAATGTCTAATCTTCATAGTGAATCGGGATGATCTGGAATACAAGAACGGGGCTTTGATGATCTCTTGCAATTGTGATCTGTTTTGTAGCTTTCTTTGGGAATGTGAAAAGCCCGGCACAGGATGTCTATGAAATGAGGATTGGATCCCTGACCTACCAGGTGAAAGCTGGAGATATAACAAAGGAAAAGTGTGACGTCATTGTCAACTCCACCAATAACACGTTCAACCTCAACACAGGTATTTACAGGACTGTTGGGCTTTAAAAAAAAGTTTAAATGTTTTTGAAAACTGTGAGATGACCAGAACAACCTCACCAAAGGCCCGCAACTAGCAGAGCCTATGGTACAACCCATTCAGCCACTGGGCATTTTATATATTATGGAGGATCATGTTGGAGGTGTGATATCCTGGTGGTGAGCATAACCTCAAAGAGAGAGAAGGTCAGGAGTAGAGTATATTCTATCCTATGGAGAGTCTTGTTGGAGGAGTGATATCCCAGTTATTAGTGCAGCTAGGAAGAGGGAGAGAAGGCCGAGAGCTGAGTATTTCCTACCTTATGGTTGGTCAAGTTGGAGATTTGATATCCTGGTGGCAATTATAAGCAGGAAAGGTAAATAGCCACTGGGCCACTAGGCATTTTCTAAATTATGGAGGGTCATGTTGGAGGTCTGATATCCTGGTGGTGAGCATAAACAGAATGGGAGAGAGAAGGCCAGGAGCAGAGTATGTTCTACCGTATGGGAGGGTCAAGTTGAAGGTTGTGATATTTCAGTGGTGAGTGCAATTAGAAAGGTATAGAAGGTCAGGAGCTGAGTATTTTCTACCTTATGGAGGGTCATGTTGGAGGAGTGATATCCTAGAGGCAAGTATAATCAGGAAAGTAAATAGAAGGTTCTATATTATGGAGGGTCATGTTGGAGGTCTGATATTCTGAGCATAACTACAAAGGGAGAGAGAAGGCCAGGAGCAGAGTATGTCCTTCCTTTATGGAGGGTCATATTGGAGGAGTGATATCCTGGTGGTGAGTGCAATTAAAATGGTAGAGAGAAGGTAAGGACTGAGTATTTTCTACCTTATGGAGGGTCATGTCATGCGATATCCTGGTGGTGAGTGCAGTTAGAATGGTAGAGAGAATGTCAGGAGCAGAGTATTTTCTACCTTAAGGAGGGTCATGTTGGAGGTGTGATTCCCTAGTGGCAAGTATAATCAGGAAAGTAAATAACGGTTCTATATTGTTCTATATTACGGAGGGTCATGTTGGAGGAGTGATATACTGGTGGCAAGTATAATCAGGAAAGTAAATAGAAGGTTCTATATTGTTCTATATTATGGAGGGTCATGTTGGAGGTCTGATATTCTGGTGGTGAGCATAAACAGATAGGGAGAGAGAAGGCCAGGAGCACAGTATGTCCTACCTTATGGAGGGTCATGTTGGAGGTCTGATATTCTGGTGGTGAGCATAAACAGATAGGGAGAGAGAAGGCCAGGAGCAGAGTATGTCCTACCTTTATGGAGGGTCATGTTGGAGGAGTGATATCCTGGTGGTGAGTGCAATTAGGAAGGGAGAGAGAAGGTCAGGAGCAGAGTATTTTCTACCTTATGGGAGAGTCAAGTTGGAGATTGATACCCTGGTGGGAAGTATAATCAGGAAGGTAAATAGAAGGTTCTATATTGTTCTATATTAAGGAGGGTCATGTTGGATGTGGCAGTGATAGCAATTAAAAAGGTAGACAGAAGGTCAAGAGCATGTTCTACCTTTACGGAGGGTCATGTTGGAGGAGTGATATCCTGGTGGCAAGTATAATCAGGAAAGTAAATAGAAAGTTCTATATTTGTTCTGTATTATGGAGGGTCATGTTGGAGGTCTGATATTCTGATGTTGAGCATAACCAGAAAGGGAGAGAGAAGGCCAGGAGCAGAGTATGTCCAACCTTTTTGGAGGGTCATGTTGGAAGAGTGATATCTCGGTGGTGAGTGCAATTAGAAAGGTATAGAAGGTCAGGAGCGGAGTATTTTCTACCTTACGGAGGGTCATGTTGGAGGAGTGATATCCTGGTGGTGAGTGCAATTAGAAGGGAGAGAGAAGGTCATGAGCAGAGTATTTTCTACCTTATGGAGGGTCAAGTTGGAGATTTGATACCCTTGTGGCAAGTATATTCAGGAAGGTAAATAGAATGTACTATATTTTTCTATATTATGGAGGGTCATGTTGGAGGTGTGATGTCCCGGCGGTGAGTGCAATTAAAAAGGTAGACAGAAGGTCAGGAGCAGAATATGTTCGGCCTTATGGGAGGGTCAAGTTGGAGGTTTGATACCCTGGTGGCAAGTATAATCAGGAAGGTAAATTGAAGGTTCTATATTTTTCTATATGTTGAAGGTGTAATGTCCTCGCAGTGATAGCAATTAAAAAGGTCGGAGGTGTGACATCCCAGTGGTGAGTGCAATTAGAAAGGTAGACAGAAGGCCAGGGGCAGACTGACCATTCCAGCACTCGGGCAGTGCCCGAGGGCTCAGGGTCAGTAGGGGGCCCCATGAGATGCCCCTGGTGCCTTTCATAGGCTGTTTTGGGTGTGGTTCTAGTGTGGGCGAGGACACAGGGGCCCCATGAGTTGCCAGTCCGCCCCTGGCCAGGAGCAGAGTATGTTCCTCCTTATGGAGGGTCATGTCAGAGGAATGATATTCCGGGGCGAGTGTAAAATGTTTTACATTTTATAGGAGTGAGGATATGTTTGACGTCGACTATCTCCAACAGACTCTCGTATTGGACACTTTACTCACAGAGCGAACTTGATGGATAAGGGAATACAATAACCATAATGGACCCCCAGACCTTCACTAGCGGATGGCAATTAAAAAAAAAAAACAATTTTAGTAAATTTCCAAATACAGAAGTCTTGTGGTCCTATATATAAAGTCTTGTTGTGGACGTCATAGAGATAAAAATATTTCTCACTAAGCATTTCATGGCTTTGTTTCCTTCGACCTTGTGGAGGAATTTTGCTGGATCTACTCTCTGAACAAATGCTGAATCCCATTTTGACAATTTGAAGCTGATATGTTGTGTTGTTGCAGGAGTTTCCAAAGCCATCCTGGAAGGAGCGGGGCCCCAGATAGAACGTGAATGTGCCAGGCTCGGTAAGAAACTTTATGAAGATTTTTCTTGCATGTGGACCGATAGAGAACCCATCATAGAATAGGAACATTTTGGTAAATAATTCATACAGAAATGTAGATCTTGTCCTTGACGGCGGAACAATTCAGGAAATCTGGTGATGGCCGTACAATAAGTTAAATAGAGAGAAGAAAATAATGATTTCAGTAGGAGATGGGAATTTTATCTTTAGATCAAAAGTTAATATTTATAAAAGTTAAACGGAACACTGAAAACTGAACTCTGTTCCTCAATGTCCTCCCAAATGGAAGAAAAATATATTTGAAATACTACAAGTTTGGCCATAATCAGTATATTTCAAAATATATTTCAATAAATAAATATATATAAAAAATAAATATAAATCTATATATACAGTCAGGTCCATAAATATTGGGACATGGACACAATTCTAACATTTTTGGCTCTATACACCACAATGGATCTGAAATGAAATGAACAAGATGTGCTTTAACTGCAGACTGTCAGCTTTAATTTGAGGGTATTTACATCCAAATCAGGTGAACGGTGTAGGAATTACAACAGTTTGCATATGTGCCTCCCACTTGTCAAGGGACCAAAAGTTATGGGACAATTGGCTTCTCAGCTGTTCCATGGCCAGGTGTGTGTTATTCCCTCATTATCCCAATTACAATGAGCAGATAAAAGGTCCAGAGTTCATTTCAAGTGTGCTATTTGCATTTGGAATCTGTTGCTGTCAACTCTCAAGATGAGATCCAAAGAGCTGTCACTCAGTGAAGCCATCATTAGGCTGAAAAAACAAAAGAAACCCATCAGAGAGATAGCAAAAACATGAGGCGGCCAAAAACAACTGTTTGGAACATTCTTAAAAAGAAGGAACGCACCGGTGAGCTCAGCAACACCAAAAGACCCGGAAGACCACGGAAAACAACTGTGCTGGATGAGCGAAGAATTCTTTCCCTGGTGAAGAAAACACCCTTCACAACAGTTGGCCAGATCAAGAACACTCTCCAGGAGGTAGGTGTATGTGTGTCAAAGTCAACAATCAAGAGAAGACTTCACCAGAGTGAATACAGAGGGTTCACCACAAGATGGAAACCATTGGTGAGCCTCAAAAACAGGAAGACCAGATTAGAGTTTGCCAAACGACATGTAAAAAAGCCTTCACAGTTCTGGAACAACATCCTATGGACAGATGAGACCGACATCAACTTGTACCAGAGTGATGGGAAGAGAAGAGTATGGAGAAGGAACTGCTCATGATCCTAAGCATACCACCTCATCAGTGATCATGGTGGTGGTTGGTAGTGTCATGGCGTGGGCATGTATGGCTGCCAATGGAACTGCTTCTCTTGTATTTATTGATGATGTGACTGCTGACAGAAGCAGCCGGATGAATTGTGAAGTGTTTCGGGAATATTATCGGCTCATATTCAGCCAAATGCTTCACAACTCATTGGACGCTTCACAGTGCAGATGGACAATGACCCAAAGCAGACTGCAAAAGCAACCAAAGAAGTGGAATGTTCTGCAATGGCCAAGTCCATCACCTGACCTGAATCCGATTGAGCATTTCACTTGCTGAAGACAAAACTGAAGGCAAAAAGGCCCCAAGAACAAGCAGGAACTGAAGACAGTTGCAGTAGAGGCCTGGCAGAGCCTCACCAGGGATGACACCCAGCGTCTGGGGATGTCTATGCGTTCCATCACTTCAGGCTGTCATTGACTGCAAAGAGATTTGATAACCAAGTATCTACACTGTAAATACCCTCAAATTATAAAGCTGACAGTCTGCAGTTAAAGCACATCTTGTTAGTTTCTCATTTCAAATCCATTGTGGTGGTGTATAGAGCCAAAAATGTTAAGAATTGTGTCGTTGTCCCAATCAGGTTCACACAAAAGACCCCAAAAATGGCTGGACAAAAGTATTGGCACCCTTAACTTAATATTGGTTGCACACCCTTGGAAAAAACATAAACTGAAATCAGTCGCTTCCTATAACCATCAATAAGCTTCTGACACCTCTCACCCGGAATTTTTGGTCTTCTCTTTGCAAACAGCTCCATGGTCTGTCATTGACTGCAAAGGATTTGTAACCAAGTATTAAAAAGTGAAAGTTTGATTTATGATTATTATTCTGTCCCTTTACATTTGGTCCCTTAACAAGTGGGAGGCACATATGCAAACTGTTGTAATTCCTACACCGTTCACCTGATTTGGATGTAAATACCCTCAAATTAAAGCTGACAGTCTGCAGTTAAAGCACATCTTGTTAGTTTCATTTCAAATCCATTGTGGTGGTGTATAGAGCCAAAAATGTTAGAATTGTGTTTCGTGTGTCCCAATATTTATGGACCTGACTGTATATTAATGTGTGCGTATGTGTATATATGTGTATATAATATATTTCGTGATATATATATATATATATATATATATATATATATCATGTGTGTGTGTGTGTGTATGTATTTGAACAGAAGTATTTGAACCCCCTGCGATTCTGCAAGTTCTCCCACTTCTCCATCATGGAGGGTCTGACATTCACATTGCAGGGGATTCCCACTCTGAGGACAGAATTCAGGAGATCACATTGTATGATTTGTAAAGAATGTATTTGTCTCGCACGGCTGAACAGAAGTATTTGAACCCCTGAGAAGATCCGTGTTAATATTTGGTACAGAAGCCTTTGTCTGCAATTCCAGAGGTCAGACGTTTCCTGTAGTCCTTGGCCAGGTTTGCACTGCAACAGGGATTTTGGCCGACTCCTCCACACCGATCTCCTCTAGATCTGTCAGGTTTCGGGGCTGTCGCTGAGCAACACGGAGTTTCAGCTCCCTCCAAAGATGTTCTATTGGATTTAGGTGTGGAGACTGGCTAGGCCACTCCAGAACCTTGATATGCTTCTTACGGAGCCACTCCTTGGTTCTCCTGGCTGTGTGCTTCGGGTCGTTGTCATGTTGGAAGACCCAGCCAGTAGAAGTAGAGTCCAGGATGTGCATCAAAATGAAGCTAGGAGAGCACAGTGGGATATAGGAGGTGAAGGGGGCGGTAATGCATTTTGGAGCATGCTCAATAGGCTCCTTCTTCAGACCTCTGAAGGCACATCCTGGACTCTACTTCCTGATCCTATAGAAAGAGTTTGCTGCTGGACGGCTGGATGTCCCACCTGGATCTAATTACCACACGATGAGTCTTTTTAACTATTTATCTTGTAAGTGCAATTTATTCATTGTTTACTAAATAAATTGTCAATACTGCACTTAGAGGCGCCTTCCTCTCTTTTTCTTTTTTTTATGGAAAGTTCTGCCTGACACAGGAGGGAGGCATCCAATGACCCAGGGACTTGTGAATACAGACCTGAGTGCAGGATCTGGGTTGACTGTTGCTGCTGCCAGCTCCCTGGTACACTAATATGAAGGCTTTCCTAGCCTGGAGCATTTCTTATGGTGTTCCGGTGCTGTCCATTGGGGACTGCAGAAGAAGTAGCTGCAGAGTAAGAGTGTCCTCACATTTCTGTTCAGCCTTCTGGAGTATCCCACAGCTTCCCATCCTATCCTAGTTATTCAGCAATAAATACAGAAAAAGGCAACCCCTAGACTTTTCCTTGAGCCATGGAAGAGAGGAACCTGGGAAAAATCAGCGTCCCTTTCGGGGGTGACCACTACACAAACAGCTCTTCTTTGAGGAACATGAGACCATTTTATCTTTGGCAGAGAGGTTTTTATGATGCAAAACTGATTTCAATCTACAATTTTTGTAAGTGTAGCACTACCCCTGTGGGAGCCGCTGAGTTATGGGCCAGGCAACGACCAGGCAAAAGGTATTTTCTTCATATCTCCAATCGCAAACAGTCAGTAATACAGTCTTTCAGTTGGTTTTTAGTTGTTTTTATTACCCACTTCCCGACCGGCCGTTGCATATAAACGGCCGGACGGTGGCAGTGCAGGGTCCAATGGCCGTTTATGAACGGCCTCCCCGCACCCTGCTTGTGCGCGCTCCCTGGGAGCGCGCAGCACCCGCGATCCGGTGCCCGCTGTGTCCTCCGGACACAGTGAAACACCGATCGTCGGACGGGACCTCTGTACGAGGTCCCGATCATGTGATCACTGATTGGCCAATCAGTGATCACATGCAAAGTAGTAAGCATCATTGCTTACTACGTGTGAAATCTGTGAATGATCACAGAGGTCACATGGTACAAGGCTATTCACAACAGCCTTGTACCATGTGACAAGGGTGTGACCAATCACAGCTCACTCAGTACTTCTCAATGAGTGCAAGAATGCAGACAGAGAGAAAGAGAAATGATTGCTTTTACATCCTATATGGGTGTAAAAGCAATCAGTGTAAAAAAAAAAAAAAAAAAATCTTCATCACCCCCCACAAGTAGTACAGTGTCACCATGGTGACACTGTACTGCTAGGGTGACAGTATGTAAAAAAATAAAAAATAAATAAAAAATAATAATATAAAAAAATAAAATAAAAATGTAAAACAAAAAGTTTAAAAATTATAATTTTTGGTTATAAACTAATTTGTTTTTTTTTTGTTTTTTTTTTACTAAAAAGATAACGGAATAAATTTTGGCAAAGATTTATGATGAAATATTATTTATTTGCAAAATTATATAAAAAAACACTTTTTGTTCAAAATTTTTGGACTTTTTCATTTACATAGCAAAAAAAAAAAAAATCCCAGCGGTGAATAAATACCACCAAAATAAAGCTTTATCTGTCTCAAAAGAATGGTAAAAAAATTAATTTGGGTACAGTGTTGCATGACCGCGCAATTGTCATTCAAAGTGTGATAGCGCTGAAAGCTGAAAATTGCCCTGGTCAGGAAGGGGGTGAAAGTGTCCGGACTGGAAGGGGGGGAAAGTGTCCGGTCTGGAAGTGGTTAAGGGTTTAACAAGTTGGATGGGGTCTAGGGGTATATGGGATGCCCAAGGGAACTGCAAAGCTTTGAGGACAAACTTCATGGCAGCTACAATGTACAAAAGATGTGAATTCAGAAATAGAGACTGTCACTTTAAGGAGCACTAGTCCCATTTGGTGTGCCTCCTCAGACCCCAGATGAATCCTCCCCTCTTTACCCAGCTGCTCTAAGTGAATCCCTGGACATGGGATCCCAAGAGCTAGCAATTAAGTAATCCCAAATGAGAACTATTAGGGTCTTGCACCTGACCGCCCTCTCCCTGTATCTGGCCCAGGGGGTGTAGAAATACCAACACTGTCCTGTCCTGTTAGCTTGATAGGTTAAAGCTGCTTTCAGGCCTTTTCACTGGGATTGCTCCTTCCTGACAGGTTGTCCTCCATAGGAGATGATGGGGCACTGGGGGTCCTTCTGTCCAGCAACTAGCCTGTAAGTAGGCTCCCCTCCCTGGGACCCCCCAGGCTCCACACTCCATCCTTCCTCTCAGTCCATCTTCCACTTGACACTGCACACCTACTCCCAGGTTCTGCCATATTTTAAGGGTTGTGTCTGGTCACCATGCCTGGCCTTCTGCCAGGGGACTGGCCAAGGTCCCTCAAATATGAAGATCTGGTCCTCCTCCCCTCCTCCACCGCTCTTCCAGAAAGTTCTGTAAGTTTCTGGAAAGGTGGGAGGGCTCCAGAAGCCCTGACTCGTAGAACCTCCCTGCCTGTCCTGAAGTGAACCCACTACCTCACTCCCAGGCTGACTCATCTCAGGCTGCTACTCAGTATCTATAAAACAACAAATCAGGCTACCTAGGGGGCGCTACATAAGGAAAGACAAATTTTTCAGGTGTTGGAAATCAAACCAGTTTAAATTGAACCTAAACTCTGAATGCAGCTGTTTCCCCCTACTTGGTCTCCGATGATATCCAAACTAACAGCCTTAAATTTTCAATATTGGCAGTTTTGGGGTCCCTCCAATCTTTTCTACATTACAGCTGCCACACAGGGTAGGATCTGTGTGAGGCAGAAGCACTGATTGGCTGCTCAGGTAAAGGGAGCCAGTAAAGGTGGTATCTCTTCTTCCGCACACCTCCAGCGGTCTAGATTCTCCACTTCAGGTGGAGCTTGACTGTAATGGCAATGTAGTTAATTTGGGAGAAACTGGGTTTACGGTCACACGGGGCAGTGATCCGGTTGGATGCTGTGGACCCATGTGACCCCTCGGCCATCTTGGGTCAAGCAGAGTCTATTTAAGACTCTGACCCTGGGTTTTGGTATGCTTTATGGCTAGTGTAGGGACAGGTTACCTGTCTGTCAGGGACAGTGCTAGCGGTAGGGAGAGGTTCTGGTGGGGTAGGGAGAGAGCAGGGACTAGGTCTACCTTCCCAGGAACTTCCAGTTTGGGATGGACCAGGCCAGGCCACACTCTGCTCCTCATGGCAGATGCTGTCGGCAACTCTGAGTCTACACACCACTGCCTCTACACTGCACTGTAAGTCTTGTTTGTTTGTACCATTTAATTATTTCTACAATATATTATTTTTGGCAAATTGGGACACCTTGTACCTACTGTCCATCACACCATGCTGCACCTACCCAGCAGGCTTTTCAGGTTCCTTTATGTTTGTGATTTTCTCCAGTTGACCCCCATGTTCAAAGATGAGCTCCTACATCGTTGCTCAAATATTTACCTTCTTTTTCTTTCCCAGGAACCAAACGCAACAACGGGTACGCGGTCACACAAGGAGGAAACCTCCACTGTAAGAGTATAATACATATTTCCGGTCAATGTCAAGCAGATCTAGTAGGGCAGTGCATAAAGGAAGCCCTGCACATGTGTGAGAGACAACGAGCGACCTCAGTGGCCTTCCCGGCCATGGGGACAGGTGAGAGACTCTCTGAGATCCTGAGTTATCTGTGTCTGAAGCATCAACTGTCTGCCGTCTCCCATAGCCACCAATTCTATTCAAATGTTCGATCTCCAACTGTCATTTTCCAGAGCAGGTTTGGTTAATATGTTACAGTGAACTGTATTCAGGCAATTTGGAAAGGAGAATTGTTTTTATTTCGCAGTCTAGACCAGGGGTCTCCAAACCTTCTAAACAAAGGACCAGTTTACTGTCCTTCAGACTTCAGAAGGGCCGGACTATTGGAAGTAAAAAAGGTCATGACTTACGTGGAATAAACCATGTCCCATCTTTGGTGTCAGCGGGAGGAATAGAGCCTGTCACGTACCTGGTTGGGGAGCCTGACGTGGAGAGGAGGCATCCTCTTACTACTCCCGCTTGGAGCCCCTGATAGTGGGAACAGAGGGCGCAGAGCCAGGAGTGGCTCGAGTGCCGGGTGGGTCTGGAGCTGGTGGCAGGTGAGTGAAGACCCAGGAGATCCGGATGCAGGCCAGGTGTGGATGCAGGAACGTAGGTGCAGCAGCAGACAGGTATGGCGGCAATCAGGATGCAGACTGGGAACGGACACAGGAGCGTGGATGCAGCAGCAGGCAGGTATGGCAGTGACCAGGATGCAGGCCAGGTGCAGGACCGTGGGTGCAGCAGCAGATAAGTATGGCGGTGACCAGGATGCAGGCCAGGTGCAGGACCGTGGGTGCAGCAGCAGGTAAGTATGGCGCTGACCAGGATGCAGGCCAGGTGCAGGATCGTGGGTGCAGCAGCAGGTAAGTATGGCGGTGACCAGGATGCAGGCCAGGTGCAGGATCGTGGGTGCAGCAGCAGGTAAGTATGGCGCTGACCAGGATGCAGGCCAGGTGCAGGACCGTGGGTGCAGCAGCAGGTAAGTATGGCGGTGACCAGGATGCAGGCCAGGTGAAGGACCAGGGGTACAGCAGCAGGTAAGTATGGCGCTGACCAGGATGCAGGCCAGGTGAAGGACCAGGGGTACAGCAGCAGGTAAGTATGACAGCAATCAGGATACAAGCCAGGTGCAGCACCATAGGTGCAGCAGCAGACAGGTATGGCAGCAATCAGGATGCAGACTGGGAACGGACACAGAAGCGTGGATGCGGCAGCAGGCAGGTATGGTGGTGGCCAGGATGCAGGCCAGGTGCAAGACCGTGGGTGCAGCAGCAGGTAAGTTGGCGTCTATCAGGATACAACCCAGGTACAGATGCAGGTAAGTTGGTGCAGCAGAGTCAGACAAGCCGGGTCAGGATCAAACGAGCAAATCAAGTACAAGGGAGCAGACAAGTGGATAGCCAGGAATAGCCGGGGTCGGTGCAGGCGGAGTTCTTTCTTAGTCAGGGTCAGATCAGGGTACAGGCAACAGAATCAGGTTATGGAGTGTAGGGACATTATAGACCAGAAGGCATTGATTACACTGTATTGCAGGTTTAAATCGCCCGCCTTGCGGTGACGTGTACGCTAATGCGCATGCGCGCACCCGAACGCTCCTGCGCATGCACGCACGCACACTCCCGCGCATGCGTACTTGCACTGCCACGGGCGGAGGGGATCCGGCGCCGTCGCACAGCTGCACAGAAGGATCCCTGACAGAGCCCCATCATTGTGCCCTATTGTTGGTGTCATTGGCAGGAATTGTGACCTGTCATTGGGAGTTATTCTGCCCCTTCATTGGTGTCAGAGGGGGGAATTATGCCCCATTGTTCCTATCAGTGGAAAAAAATAGTGCCCCAAGGGCCAGTTAAAAGTACGCAATGGGCCGCATCTGGCCCCCGGGCTGCAGTTTGGAGACCACTGGTCTAGACACATTAGTGTGTGATGTGTCTAGATAATAAAAAACGCCACTAAAGAATCTGAATATTCAGTCGTAAAGCGCAACTACAGCCAACTGAAATAAATACAAAGTGCCAACCCCACTCATCATCAATAGGTGCAGTAGGTGTTCTTATAAATAAAGTCCCTAATACACCCTAATACTTACCTTAACCTCCGGAAGATTTTATAACCTTCACGACTGGGGTTTTTTTTTTTTTGCTATTCAGCACTACACTACTTTTTCTCAGTCCAGGGAAGACTGAGTCCATTGAAGACTGAGACTGAGCTCTGAAATCACATGTGTTGTTTTCATATTCCTGGTCCCAATCCTGCACAATTGTCTCTTTTGGTCAGGTGACCATGTGGACCGCACTTACGCTCATCAGACGACGTTTTCCCAGAAACTGTATATGCCGCCATAAGCTTTGATACTGAAGTTCACCATACGGCAAATAAATTGGCAACTTAAGTCACAGAGATACCAGCTAAGCGGCACCAACAATTTGCGCTCTTTGAAGCTCTGACATGATTCTGTATTACTAGCAGCGAATGATGAAATTGAGGCTTCCCACCTTATAGCTAGGTGTCTCATCACACAGCGAAAGTAAAAGAATGTTACATTACTTCCCCTTTCGCCGCCCTTACATTGGTGGTCAGTGGGAAGAATGTCCCTTACATTGGTGGTCGGTGGGAAGAACGTCCCTTACATTGGGGGGTCAGTGGGAAGAATGTCCCTTACATTGGGGTCAGTGGGAAGAATGTCCCTTACATTGGTGGTCGGTGGGAAGAATGTCCCTTACATTGGTGGTCAGTGGGAAGAATGTCCCTTACATTGGTGATCAGTGGGAAGAATGTCCCTTACATTGGTGGTCGGTGGGAAGAATGTCCCTTACATTGGGGGTCAGTGGGAAGAATGTCCCTTACATTGGTGATCAGTGGGAAGAATGCTCCTTACATTGGAGGTCAGTGGGAAGAATGTCCCTTACATTGGGGATCAGTGGGAAGAATGTCCCTTACATTGGGGCTCAGTGGGAAGAATGTCCCTTACATTGGAGGTCAGTGGGAAGAATGTCCCTTACATTGGGGGGTCAGTGGGAAGAATGTCCCTTACATTGGTGATCAGTGGGAAGAATGTCCCTTACATTGGAGGTCAGTGGGAAGAATGTCCCTTACATTGGTGATCAGTGGGAAGAATGTCCCTTACATTGGTGGTCGGTGGGAAGAATGTCCCTTACATTGGGGTCGGTGGGAAGAATGTCCCTTACATTGGTGGTCGGTGGGAAGAATGTCCCTTACATTGGAGGTCGGTGGGAAGAATGTCCCTTACATTGGGGGTCGGTGGAAGAATGTTCCTTACATTGGGGGTCGGTGGGAAGAATGTCCCTTACATTGGGGGTCGGTGGGAAGAATGTCCCTTACATTGGGGGGTCGGTGGGAAGAATGTCCCTTACATTGGGGGTCGGTGGGAAGAATGTCCCTTACACTCGTGGTTGTTGGGAAGAAGTACCTCCTTACAGATAGCTAAAAATATTAACGGGGTCAGTGGGAACTTATCTGAGAGGTAAAAATTTCTCAAGGAACCCCTAGCAACCACTGGAGGAACCCTAGGCTTCCATGAAACCCTTGTTAGGAAACCTTGGTCTATACTCAAGACAAAAAAGTTTGAATAAAAGGGCAGGCTTGATGGATCATTTGGTCTTTGTCTGCCATTTGCTGTTTTAGTTTATATGCTTTTTTGCTCTCCAGTAAAGGTCCAAGATGTAAGATTTAAACAGCAAAGATTATTGATGTGATAGCTGATGGGATAAGCCACATTGAACTGCTTGTGGAGCATTGGTGAGGAGGATGAGATTGTCCCCCATAATGTGTCCTCTTGGTCACTCTCTGCTCTTTCTCTCTTTGTCCAGGTGCCGGCGGGGTGTCTTCTGCAGAAGTGGCAGATGCAATTTTAGACGCCGTGGTGGATTTTGTCAAATCTAAATCAGCCGTGACCGTCCAACACGTGACGATGGTAATATTCCAGCAAACCATGTTAAAAGATTTCCATGACAGTATGAAGAAAAAAAAGAAGGAGACACCAGCTGCAGCCAAACAACAGTCCTGGTTTTCTTTGACCAGAATCACATGTAAGTGTCGCAGCTTTTACACATTACTGTTGATGTGCTTTGGGTAAGGCTGCAGGTTGTGCCCCGTGTCAGCTGCTCACGTCACCTCTGTAAATGAGGATCTTCTCTTAGGACACCAAGTGCTGGAAACAGCATTGTCGTTGATGTGATCAGACTTTTAACTAGGCTACAGCAGCTTAAATTGAGAGATTTTCACTCACTTCCTTTACCATTTACAACGTTTTATCAGTCTTCCTTTATGTATCGCTGTCCTTCTACATTATTGTTATTATTATACAGGATTTATGGCGCCAACAGTTTTCTCAGCACTTTACAATATAACGGGAGACAATACAGCAACGATACATTTGAATACAAGAGGGATAGGAGGGCACTGCTCCTCTGGAGCTTACAATCTAGGAGGGAGGGGCTAGTGGTTCAAAAGGTAGTAACTATGGGGGATGGAGTGGTTGGAAGAATAGAAGATTCCATTATTAGCTGAGGGCAGGATAGGCTTCCTTGAAGAGATCGGTTTTCAGAGATCGCCTAAAAATGAGCAGAGTAGACGATAGTCTGATAAACTGGGGTAGAGAGTTCCAGAGGATGGGGAAAGCTCTGGAGAAGTCCTGGAGATGAGCATGGGAGGAGGAGACAAGGGAGCTAGAGAGTAGGAGGTCTTGCGAGGAGCGGAGAGTACAGTTTGGGTGATATTTAGAGACAAGATCGGTGATGTAATTTGGGGCGGAGTTATAAATGGCTTTATACGTTATTGTTAGTGTTTTGAATTTTATCTGTTGGGCAATGGGAAGCCAGTGGAGGGACTGGCAGAGAAGGGTGGAGGACACTGAATGGAGGCCAGTGGAGGGATTGGCAGAGAGGGGTGGAGGACACTGAATGGAGGCCAGTGGAGGGATTGGCAGAGAGGGGTGGAGGACACTGAATGGAGGCCAGTGGAGGGATCAGCAGAGAGGGATGGAGGACACTGAGTGGAGGCCAGTGGAGGGATTGGCAGAGAGGGTTAGAAGACACTGAATGGGGCCAGTGGAGGGATTGGCAGAGAGGGATGGAGGACACTGAGTGGAGGCCAGTGGAGGGATTGGCAGAGAGGGGTGGCAGATACAGAACGGTTAGTAAGGTGGATGAGTCTGGCAGCAGCATTCATGATAGACTGAAGAGGGGATGGCCAGCGATGAGGTCGGCCAATGAGGAGGGAGTTACAATAGTCAAGGCGAGATATAACAAGGGAGTGGATAAGTTGCTTAGTGGTTTCCGAGGTTAGGAACAGGCATATCTTGGAGATGTTGCGGAGGTGAAGTCTACAAGATTTGGACAGAGATTGGATTTGGGCTGAAAGGATAGGATTACACCTAGTACCCTGGCATGAGGGGAGGGACTGATGATTGTGTTACCGATATTTATGGTGAAGTCAGGGGTGGGGCGCGGGCTGGGGGGAATACTAAGAGCTCAGTTTTGGAAAGATTGAGTTTGAGGAAGTGGAGTGACATCCATGTCACTTAGTAGGTTAGTGCTGAACACATGGAACACAAATTCTGTAAATATTCTTTATCTTCTCTTTAAAGCAGCTTTGTTTAGTAGATTCCAATCCAACAAAAATGACAGTAAAGAAGAGGAAGAAGAGGAAGAAGAAGAACCCAAAGTTTTTGAGCTGAGAGAAAACATCGAGCCGGCCATTTTCCACCTGTGTGCAGAAAGCCCCGAATCTGTGAAAGCGGCCTCAGACTGGCTCCAAGACCTCATAACAAAGGATCAGCATAATATTACTATCACAGATAACTGGATACAGGACTTAGATGATAAGGACCATGGTGACCTGGCTCAGCTTCAAAGAGTCAACGGAGTTCATATTTCTTTTGACGCACCACAGTCCACCATTAAGGTGACAGGTCGCACCAAGGATGTCCTGGAGGTCAGTAGTAAAATCCATGAGATGATAAAGGGTGTGCGAGATAAGAAGACGCAAGAACGAGAGGCGGAGCTGTGCAGTAACGTGGTGGAGTGGGGATATTACCAAGGCACCAACTTTATTCCCTTCAACAAAATGACAAACCTAAAGCTGGAAACGGCTTATATTCACAAGAGTGCTGTGGATATTGAGATCGCCGGTGTAAAACACAAGGCAATTACAGAGCGAGAAAAAGCAAACGATACCAGAGGAAACACAATTAAGCTTCGACGGAATCTGAAAAATGGTAATTTCCATTCTTTCTTGTTCAAATCTTCATTAGTGATCCGATAAATATTATTATCGGACAGCCCTAGCTAATAGAAATATAAACAGATTGCCAGCCTTGGGAGTTCTTAGTGGTCACAGATGGCTCTCTGTATTACGTTGGACTGTTTTCATGCAGAGAACCAACCAGAAAGGCCAAGATACTGTACAGTATGATGCAGACCTCCAGATTAAACATGCCTGTAGACATTACAGTCTCCCAATACACCTGTCCTACGATTGCACATTTTAATGTCTATAGATCAGCTCCTGACAGCCCCGATTGACTGCTTCTGGAGGACAAAGTATTTGGATAGGTTAGAAAACATTGATTTAGCCTCAAGAAAGTCCAATGACAGGACAGCCTGTATGTGCACCCCCTTGCTACCTCCAATGCCAAAACAAGAATATTGGGTGACCAAACTCATATTGTATGGAGGAGACCCTGGGCCAAAGTCATCATGAGACAGATTGTATGACTTGCATGTCCGACTGTTATCTGATGTCTACAGTCAGCCCACAGACACCTCTACTCCAATGGCCCACCATCCCCTCACCTTCCTGTACAGACCTCAGCATCATGGGCAGCTGATCTACTGATAGCAACGGCCTACACCCATATCTCCTCTTACCTTCACTATGTGCCAGTTCTAAGTAAGCTTGGCAATTCTGCTTGTACCAAGTGCAATCAAAATGTCTGCAGGACAGGTTTTCTTCAATTTCAAACAGGCATTTGTGGCTAAGTCTGCTCATTTACCAGCCCCCATGGCTGACAGTCTGAATACTGGAGCTGTGGCAACCCAAGTCCAACACAGCTGCCAGCCTTGTGTTGCGTAATGTAGGGCAGACTTAGCAACCCATTAAAGACAAGACCACTACATTCCAGTGGAGCAGCTGTGAGTTGGTCTGCCAAGGGTCTGCCCAACGGTACCACTCAACATGCTGGTTGACAGCATTCTGACTGGGTGTACCATTGCCACTCAGGAGTAATAGGACATACCCACCAGCCTTGTAGGGAACCTGTAACAAAAAGGTTTTCCTGTTTCTTACTTAGAAAATAGAACAAAATACTTTTATTTAACATCAGATAAGATGAGATGCTTCTGCTGCTGGACAAGCGAGAATCCAGACCATTGGAAATGCAGACCTGGAGGGCACAGTCCAGAGTTGGGTACAGCAGCCTGCTAAACCAATAATTCTCTCTTGCCCAACAGTATCCAGACCTGAAGGTTAGAACCCTTGGAACACTTTTTTGTTGAATTTTGTCTAAAAAATCACTTCAGGACTTCAGTACTCTCTTTCCTGTACTTCCGATACAAGTTCTTCCATGGTGTAGGAATAGGTCAGTAGGATGACTGAGGGAGGTGTTCAATCCATTCTGCAGGGTGTGACAATGATGGTGGCCTCTTGGTCTTCATTCTGAGACTCCTATCAATGTACACTGATGGGTGATAATTATGTTCTACAAGGAAACCAAAATGTAACTCTTAATATTACAGCCGCGCCCCTCGTAATCCCTCCACATTGGGATGCCATGGAAAACATCCAGCTGAAGGAGGTACCTCTGAACAGCAGCAGCCCGGACTACTCAGAGGTGGAGGGACTCTTTACACAATCGTGTCAAATGAGAATCATTAAGGTAATACTGAAGGTGAAACTCTGTTCTGCTGAGACACAATGGGGTTGATGCAGGGCTGTCTTAATGCATGGGCAGGGGCCCCAGGTGCATGAGGGCCCCATGATAATTTTACATTACATCCTGCGTGCCAACTGTCCCGGATTTGCCAGGAGTGTCACATCCCTAAGCTGTCCTGGGATGGCTGTGTCCTTGGCAGCATCCTGGAACCTGTACTGTGCCCTCCTGATCCCCTCCATACTGTGCCTTTCTTCCTTCCCCCTATACTGTGCCCTTTGTGTTGATTAGTCTTTGATTTACAGAACGGTTTCTTATTGTTAAAAATTTATTTTATCAAAAGTACTAATGCTTCAAAGCACATAAAACAATGACTTTTTGATGGGTATTCAAAAAGTTACTCCGCCTGTCTGCTCTCTCCTCCTACCAGCATGCTTCAAGGCCAGCACATAAAACAATTTGGCTTTTTGTGCTGCTTCTCCCTCTGTAACTCTGAGTTCTGCTGATGGCGAGAAGAAGATGTAACCTACTAATGCAAACCTGAAAATGACATGCAATTGCTAATACTAAGTGCCAAAAGTTATCAAGCACACATAAAGATGGTGAAAAGTTACAAACATGTACTAAGCCATTGGACAAACCACAAAAGTTGTGGGATAAAAGAAAAAAAATCACTACAGTGAGCCTTTAATGTAGAGGAGAGGAAATACCAGAGCTCCCAGGATGCCAAATCATGTCTTAGCAGATGAACCTTGCAGAAAATTTCCTGCTTGTACCCTTGATTATGTAGCCACCCTCCTAGTGCAGCTAAGGGGATCTAGACCCTAATGGTTAGTCAGGAGCTGGTTAGCAGCTCAGGTGTGATAGCCAGAGGGGTCAAATTGTGGTCAGGGGCTGAGAGACCCTGCCCCTCTGGAATTTCCCCCTGCTCTGAGGGTTTCAGAGGAGGGCCTTGTGGAAATGGGTGGATCTTAGGAGTGGGTGACTGCACTCTTGATGTACCTCAGCCATCCCCAACAGAAAGCTTGGCAAGGGGATGGGACTTCCTTAAATGTGTAAGAACCTGTTCAGTAGCAAGAGAGTGTTGGTGGGAGAGGGGAAGCAGGAAAATGTGGAGTGGAGCAGGAAGCAGGAAATGTGGAGTGGAGCAGAAAGATGTGATGCTAAGAGGAGCAAGGCTGCCAGGAGGCCTGGTGAGGTGGGGCCTGCCTGCGAGCCTGGAGCTGGAAAGGAGGAAAACTTGGGACTCACTGGCCCCCTGAAAGAGGACCACCTGTATCGCAGGGAAAGAGCAGCCCAGTTGATAGGTCTGGTAGCAGCAGCCATCCAGCAAGTGGTACAGGAGAGGATCTGCGTGAGTACACCTGCACCCTCTGGGTGGATAGGGGAAGGAGCTGTCAGGAATGGACTCGCCAATAGTGGTGGTACTCAACTGCCTGCCTTGTGGTTTGCAGTACCAGGACTGGCCAGCAGGTGCTCTCAGCAACCAGAAGCTCACTTCTGCCAAAACACCTGAGGCTGATTGCAGGAGGTGCATATAAGGAATGGCCAGACGTGCAATCTGGGCCTTGGTGTATGTTTTCCCAAGAGCCCCTGTACCTGCATCCTGTCTGCTTCCTGTTGTGCCAGATGACTCGGTGCCTGCAGTCTTGCCAGATGACTCGGTGCCCGCAGTCTTGCCAGATGACTCGGAGCCCGCTGTCTTGCCAGATGACTCGGTGCCCGCTGCTCCGCCTGGTGGCCCGGTGCCCGCTGCTCCGCCTGGTTGCCCGGTGCCCGCTGCTCCGCCTGGTGGCCCGGTGCCCAGCCTGATGTGATTCTGTCCGGTGCCCAGCCTGATGTGCCTCTGTCCGGTGTCCAGCCTGATGTGCCTCTGTCCGGTGTCCAGCCTGATGTGCCTTTTGTCCGGTGTCCAGCCTGATGTGCCTCTTTCCGGTGTCCAGCCTGATGTGCCTCTGTCCGGTGTCCAGCCTGATGTGCCTCTGTCCGGTGCCCAGCCTGATGTGCCTCTGTCCGGTGCCCAGCCTGATGTGCCTCTGCCCGGTGCCCAGCCTGATGTACCAGTCCTTGATATCCCGCCAATGGAACATTTTGTCCATTTAGGACGGTTTGGAGCGTCCTGAGGCCGCTCCTTGAGGGGGGGGGGGGTACTGTCAGGAATGGACTCGCCAATAGCGGTGGGACTCACCTGCCTTGTGGTTTGCAGTACCAGGACTGGCCAGCGGGTGCTCTCAGCAACCAGAAGCTCACTTCTGCAGTCACCCAAAACACCTGAGGCTGATTGCAGGAGGTGCATATAAGGAATGGCCAGACTTGCAATCTGGGCCTTGGTGTATGTTTTCCCAAGAGCCCCTGTACCTGCATTCTGTCTGCTTCCTGTCTGATCCTGCTTGATCCCTGACTCTGATTGAACTCCGCCTGTCCTGACCTCTGCTATTCCTGACCACTCTCCAGTCTGCTCCTTTGGTACCTTGTCTGCCTGATTGTTCCTGACCCGGCCCGTCCGACTACGCTTAGTATTGTTCTTTTGTTATCTGTTGGGGGTTTTGGTTTGGTTTGTTTTGCACTGTGTTTTTGTTTAGTCTTGCACTGCGTTTATGTATTGTTTAGTCTTAAATAAATTATATTCTTTATACCATATCTGAAGCCTGCGTTTTCCCTGTGTCAGTCCACACACCTCTGGTCATACCCGGGAGCCCTGACAGGAGCACTCTGGTGGAAAACCAGAGTAGCCCCCTACTAGTGGCTATTACTCATTTGATGGAACCGGAACCAAATCCCCTGCTCATGAAGAAAGTCTCCAGAATGCTGGGTGAAGAGGAGTTCACCTATGGTCTGGGGTAGTACAACTGGAGCTGCTGGCTAGCACTCCACCACAGACTGTTACTTCAAGAAGGAGACGTTGCGAATAGTTCAGGAAGTTGTCCTCAGATTTTGGATCCCTTGGGCATCCTATATATCCCCTTACCCCATCCAAGCTCTAATCCCCTCAATAAACAACAGAAACACTCAGGGACTGATTTCTGTCTCTGGATGAAAGCTTGTGTGGAAAATACTGAATGACTGGCCATGCAGGACCATAGGGGGACCCAAATTCATCAGTAATCCCTAAGGGGGTAGCGCTACAATTAGATCATGCTGCTTGTTGTTCTTCCCCACCCCAGTATTGTTATCCTCCCATCCAGCACGGACCCCTCTATATAGACATGACCCCCCCCATACAATGCGGGTTTGCTTCCCATGGTGTAAGATAAGGTTGGTGAACGTAGATCAGTGAACTCAGAGGAGGATTCAGTTTTATTTCTTTTTTTTCCCAGATTGAGAGAATACAGAACCAACATTTGTATCAGAATTACCAAATTAAGAAGAGCAGCATCGATACCAAGAACGGTACCACGACCAATGAGAAGAGACTCTTCCATGGCACCGAGGGCGGGACAACCGATAATATAAATCGTAATGGGTTCAACAGAGCCTTCGCTGGGAGGAATGGTGAGAAGTGACCCCCCCCCCCCATTATCCTTCTATATTATACAATTCTATTGTATGATACAGGCAAGAGGGCAACTCCACCTAAACATGCAAATTCAATATTCACCAAAAAGGAGCAAAGTCTGTCCACTGCACCGCACTGCAAATCTGTGGTGGGGACATTAGAGTGTACATTTTTGTTTATTAAAAACAAACAACATAATAACATATTTACATGTATACAGAATAAATAAAATCTTATATATATATATAATTAACCACTTGCAGTACGGCTCATGTATATAAACAGCCAGACGGTGGCAGTGCAGGGGCGGGTTGCTGTTCTTAAACGGCGCCCACCATTTTGGACTGTGCGCGCTCCCTGGGAGTGTGCAGCACCGTGATCTGGTGCCCACTGTGTCCTTCTCTCTGCGAGGTCCCGATCATGTGATCACTGATTGGCCAATCAGTGATCACATGCAGAGTAGTAAGCAAGAGGTCACTTCTGACATCATTGCTTACGATGTGTGAAATCTGTGAATGATCGCAGAGGTCACATGGTACAGGGCCATTCACAGCCAATTGTCCAGCCAAAATGTCAGATCCCACCTTTACCTTCCCTCCAGCCACAGTCACAGGTTTCTTGGTGTCAGAGTCCACAGTCACAGGATTCCCAGTCCCAGCAGAGTGCAGTCCTGCAGGCACAGCAGCCATCTTCCCTGCAGAGCTCTGTGCACACACAGGAGGATTTCCCTCCAAAACTCTGCTGTGCACATGGCTCCCCATACCGGCGTCCACGCCGCTCCCCCATACCGGAGTCCACGCGCCGCACCCCATACCGGAGTCCACGCCGCTCCCCATACTGGAGTCCACGCTGTCAGATTTAATAAAGCATGGCTTCTCAGTCTTTTTTTTCCTTTACAGGACCAGGTACAGAGTCCTCACCATCATCCTCATCTTCTGAAAACCGGAAAGTTCTTCCATTTAGAGGAGACTCCATTTCATTTATAAACTTTAGCAGCCCTCCGCCATTTTCCTCTACCTCCTGTGCTGTTCCTCCAACTTGCTGGGGAGGGATGCAGAGGCTGACATTTCCTCCAGGGAAGCAGATCCTGAGGTGGATGGGATACCAGGGGCAGCATCCAGGACCCCCTCCTCGCTCTCCACCCGTACTGCCACCGCCGATGCTGGATCCTTACTGGTGTCTCCCTTCATTTTCCTGAACCTTTCCTCATTCTGGAATTTCTCCTTGAACACTCCGCTCTTTTCCTTCAATGCTTTCCCTAAATTCTGCTGCTTCTTGATGGCGTCCTCCAAACCTTTCATCTCCGGCTTCAGACTCTGCCGCTGCTTCATGACGTCCTCCAAACCTTTCATCTCCGGCTTCAGACTCTGCCGCTGCTTCATGACGTCCTCCAAACCTTTCATCTCCGGCTTCAGACTCTGCCACTGCTTCATGACGTCCTCCAAACCTTTCATCTCCGGCTTCAGACTCTGCCGCTGCTTGATGGCGTCCTCCAAACCTTTCATCTCCGGCTTCAGACTCTGCCGCTGCTTGATGGCGTCCTCCAAACCTTTCATCTCCGGCTTCAGACTCTGCCGCTGCTTCCTGGCATCCTCCAAAACTTTCATCTCCAGCTTCAGACTCTGCCGCTGCTTGATGGCATCCTCCAAACCTTTCATCTCCGGCTTCAGACTCTGCCGCTGCTTCATGATGTCCTCCAAAACCTTTCATCTTGGGCTTCAGACTCTGCCGCTGCTTGATGGCGTCCTCCAAACCTTTCATCTCCGGCTTCAGACTCTGCCGCTGCTTGATGGCGTCCTCCAAACCTTTCATCTCCGGCTTCAGACTCTGCCGCTGCTTCCTGGCGTCCCTCCAAACCTTTCATCTCAGGCTTCAGACTCTGCCCGCTGCTTGATGGCGTCCTCCAAACCTTTCATCTCCGGCTTCAGACTCTGCCGCTGCTTGATGGCGTCCTCCAAACCTTTCATCTCCGGCTTCAGACTCTGCCGCTGCTTCCTGACGTCCTCCAAACCTTTCATCTCCGGCTTCAGACTCTGCCGCTGCTTCATGGCGTCCTCCAAACCTTTCATCTCCGGCTTCAGACTCTGCCGCTGCTTCATGGCGTCCTCCAAACCTTTCATCTCCGGCTTCAGACTCTGCCGCTGCTTCATGGCGTCCTCCAAACCTTTCATCTCCGGCTTCAGATTCTGCTGCTTGCTGCTCCATGCCTTACCATGGAGAACTTTCTTCTTCTTCTAATCTGCTTTCAGGTTCATCAGCTTTTCTTCCTTAGCAATTCTCATCAAATAGTCAGCAACCCGCTCTCTGAAGACAGGGAGGGATTCCCCTCTTTTAGGGCCACAGCCAAGGTCTTCTGGTGTAGGTGAAGCATGGGAGGACAAGCTGGGTCCCTCAGGGGGAACATGGCCTGAGCCTATCCCAAAAGAAGCCATGTTTCTGAGGCCAGGAGAGCAGGCCTGGCCCCCTAGTGTCTGGAGAAGGAGAGCAACTGCACAAGCACAGAGACTGATGGGACTGTGAGGGAGGAGGTATTAGAGTGTAAGCTCCTCTGGTAGAGAGATTGATGTGACTGTAGACATTAGATTATGTGTCTCTTCTTGAACATTGTGGAGTTGATACATTTATAGGGATATAATATCTCAGACATGACAGGTTCTCTCATATGTAGATATCCTGTATATTCCGTGTTCTCTCATATGTAGATATCCTGAATATTCCGTGTTCCCTCATATGTAGATATCCTGTATATTCCGTGTTCCCTCATATGTAGATATCCTGTATATTCTGTGTTCCCTCATATGTAGATATCCTGAATATTCCGTGTTCCCTCATATGTAGATATCCTGTATATTCCGTGTTCTCTCATATGTAGATATCCCGTATATTCCGTGTTCTCTCATATGTAGATATCCTGTATATTCCGTGTTCCCTCATATGTAGATATCCTGTATATTCCGTGTTCCCTCATATGTAGATATCCTGTATATTCCGTGTTCCCTCATATGTAGATATCCTGTATATTCCGTGTTGTATTTCTGATCTCAGGATAATCATTTCCTTTCTCTTTCTATGAGTCCAGCTGCGTTGTTGGGAAGAGGGACGTATTTTGCTGTTGATGCCATTTACTCTTCGGATGACACGTACTCCAAACCGGATACAAATGGATACAAATACATGTACCTGGCCCGTGTCCTCACCGGTGTGTACTGTGCTGGGAATAGAGCAATGATCGCCCCTCCAGCCAAGAGCCCATCGAACCCCACCGACCTGTATGACAGCGTCACAGACCGCGTATCAGGACCCTCGGTGTTCGTGATATTTAATGACATCCAGGCCTATCCGGAATACCTCATCACCTTCACCAAGTGACCTCAGAGAGCACAACGAGGGCTATGGGGAAGTGTCAAGACTCTCAGCAGCTTCCCTGCGCAGCTCATGGCATCACCTGACAAGAAGACTCCTCCCGGGGCATACTACTTTTTTTTTTCTTTGACTGCCACTTGCGTCTTCCTTCTTTCTTCTTCTGGTTTGCACTAAATTCCAATAAATTGCCTGTTGACCCCCTTAGAGGGAACTCTGATCATCCAGCAGAATCCGTCTCTGACCAGCTTCACATGGAACTCTTCCACTTTAAAGTGAACCTGTAGCCGGGCAATAGAAAAGCAATACAGAATAGAAGAGGATGGCGTGCCCCTCCTACCCCCCCCCCCCCCCCCATTCCCCCTCCCCTCCCCCTAGTCAGATTTCTGTCTTGTACCCTGTCTGGTGAAGGGAATTTCTTTATTGGAGACCTGGATGAGTGATAAAAACTTGATGGAGGTCCTAAGCCATCCTCAGTCTACCCAAAAATTTGGCTTGACATACACTTTCAGGGGTCTAGCTAAAAAAAATAGGTTGTGCCAATTTCTTTTTTTTTTTTTAGCCACTTCAATACCGGGCACTTCTACCCCCTTCCTGCCTACAGGACGCTTCTACCCCCTTCCTGCCTACCAGGCGCTTCTACCCCCTTCCTGCCTACAGGACACTTCTACCCCCTTCCTGCCTACCGGGCACTTCTACCCCCTTCCTGCCTACCGGGTACTTCTACCCCCTTCCTGCCTACAGGGCACTTCTACCCTCCTTCCTGCCTACAGGACACTTCTACCCCCTTCCTGCCTACCGGGCACTTCTACCCCCTTCCTGCCTACCGGGCACTTCTACCCCCTTCCTGCCTACCGGGCACTTCTACCCCCTTCCTGCCTACAGGGCACTTCTACCCCCTTCCTGCCTACAGGGCACTTCTACCCCCTTCCTGTCCAGGCCAATTTTTAGCTTTCAGTGCTGTCGCACTTTGAATGACCATTGCGCGGTCATGCAACACTGTAGCCATATGAAATTTTTATAATTTTTTTCACACAAATAGAGCTTTCTTTTGGTGGTATTTAATCACCGCTGAATTTTTTTTTTTTTGCTAAATAAAACAAAAAACATTTGAAAAAAATGCACTTTTCTGTTTCTGTTATAAAATTTTGCAAATAAATACCATTTCTTCATAAATTTAGGTCTGCTACATTTCTTTGGTGAAAATAATAATAATTTTTTTTTTTTTTAAATGTTTCTATTTTTTTTTATTTTTATTACATTTTTTCTTTTTTTTTACTATTTTATTTTTCAGCACACTGTGACCAAAGCAATACAATGTTACCGTAGCAACTTTGAACTACTCTGGGCAAGTGATCAGGATTTTTTTTTTCTGAAAGTTGCATAAAATCTGGGAGCCAGACAGTGGCAGCCTCCATCTGACGCCGATCACACAGTATTTTTTTTTTTTTCATTGGAGATCCCCCTTTAACCTCGCCGCGCCTTTTAAAATTTGCTCCTCACTATTCTGATTTCTTTTGTCCACAGTTGGATATTTTCTATGTGACGTCATATGGGGTTATTACATTTTCTTCACAATCGGTAGGAAGAGATGAGAAGATTTTCTCACAAGTGTAATGATTCTGGTTGTACAATCCTAGTGTTTGCTATAGGAAATAACTGGATATGTATGCTGCCCCCTCCCCCCCCCCCCCCCCACATACATGGCCCAATCACTGTCCTATACCCCACATGGAAGAAAACTATATTTGAAATATATTTTGAAAATATTCAAAATATATATGTACAGGGTGATTGAAAAGTAACTCCTTATTTTAAAAATCTTATCATTTTTATTTTTTAATCATTATTTTTTACAAAAAATGAATATGAGAAGAACACACATAACATGGATTTTTATTTAAAATTCGATATGTGCACCAGCATTCGCCTGCAGCTTCTGAAGCCGCTCGGGAATCGCATCGACTGCTCTTCACAGGAACTCTTGTGGGATGGCAGAAATAAGTTCTCGTAGTCGCCCTTCAAGTTCTTTGGTTTCGTAGAGTAAACTTCCTTCAACCAACCCCAAAGAAAAAAGTCGCAGGGTGTTACATCAGGGCTTCTGGCCGACCACTCATGCGGACCACGTCGACCCAACCATCTCCCAGGAAAATGTTCATTCAGCCATTCACCAACAATAATAGCAAAATGTGGGGGAACACCATCTTGTATGAAAATCAAGTCTTCAATATTCTCCCAGGTATAGACAACTGGCCAGATTTCATCTTGCAGGATAGTGAGATACCTTCCGGCATTCATGGTATCGCAGATTTAATTGTCATAGATTAAGGAACATACATTAAAGAATTGAGAAAAAAAAGTAACTTCATATAAAAAATTTATAAATAGTTTAATAAAGGGAGTTACTTTTCAATCACCCTATTACTGCATGTTGAAATGCGTTTTTTCTTTATTACAAAATATATGAAAAAACATTTTTAAAATATTTTTTTAAAATATATTCCTCAGAATTTTTTTAATATATAAAGAAGTAATTTTAACATATATTATTATTATTATTATTTTTTTATTATTATACAGTATTTATAAAGCGCCGATAGTTCGCTCAGCGCTGTACATTACAGAGGGGGACAGATCATGTGACAGAACAATACCAATACAATGCAAAACATGAGGGGATTGAGGGCCCTGATCTTTGGAGCTTACAATCTAGGAGGGAGGAGATGGTGGTACAGGAGGAGATAGCTGTGGGGGATGGGGTGGTAGGAAGAGTGGAGGAGGTCGGTCAAGTTAGCAGGGGGTGGGGTAGGCTTCCCTGAAGAGATGGGTTTTCAGGGTGAGCCTAAAGGAGAGGAGAGTAGGTGATAATCTGATGGGTTGGGGCAGGGAGTTCCAGAGGATGGGTGACACCCTGGAGAAGTCCTGGAGGCGGGCATGGGAGGAGGAGACCAGGGAACTAGAGAGAAGGAGGTCTTGTGAAGGAGCGGAGTGTGCGTGTTGGGTGGTACTTGGATATTAGGTCAGTGATGTAGTTCGGGGCAGTATGGTGGACGGCTTTGTACGTCAGTGTTAGGATTTTAAATTTGATCCGTTGCGCAATCGGAAGCCAGTGGAGGGATTGGCAGAGAGGGGTGGAGGACACAGAGTGGAGGCAGTGGAGGGATTGGCAGAGGGGGGTGGAGTACACAGTGGAGGTCAGTGGAGGGATTGGCAGAGGGGGGTGGAGGACACTGAGTGGAGGCAGTGGAGGGATTGGCAGAGGGGGGGAGTGGAGTACACTGAGTGGAGGTCAGTGGAGGGATTGGCAGAGGGGGGTGGGGGACACAGAGTGGAGGCCAGTGGAGGGATTGGCAGAGGGGGCCAGTGGAGGGAGGCAGAGGGGGGTGGAGGACACTGAGTGGAGGCCAGTGGAGGGATTGGCAGAGAGGGGTGGAGGACACTGAGTGGAGGTCAGTGGAGGGATTGGCAGAGGGGGGTGGAGGACACTGAGTGGAGGTCAGTGGAGGGATTGGCAGAGGGGGGTGGCGGAGATGGAGCTGTTGGAAAGGTGAATGAGTCTGGCAGCCGTATTCAGGATGGACTGAAGCGGGGATAGCCAGCGGTGAGGCAGGCCAGTGAGGAGGGAGTTGCAGTAGTCGAGTCGTGATATGATGAGGGAGTGGATGAGCTGTTTAGTGGTTTCTGGGGTTAGGAACGCGCGTATTTTGGTGATGTTGCCAAAATACATATATTTGTAAATGCATTCCAAAAATGTAGATTCAATGTATTTTTAAAGACATACAGTATATTTGAAAATTTATTTTTAAAAATATTTTTCATATATTTTGTAATAAACACATTTCAACATATCATATAATATAATATATATATATATATATATATATATATATATATATATATAGAATACGGCCAAAATTGTAGTGTTTCAAATATATGTCAATATATTTGGGAAGAATATTTTTTAAATATATTTATTTTTTTACTTATATTTTTGAATATATTTGTCTTCCCTGTGGGTACAGCCTATCCAGTTCTTACGGTTGGATTGGATTGTGTTTTTTTTATGACTTCCAACCTTCAGGATAGAACTTGTGGCAGTCCAAAGTGTTTGTCATCTCCCCTCTATAGGGCCAGAAGCCTTTCACATTGGGCTCTCACGTGTGGCCAATTTATGGGGTGTCCCTGTGTATGTAGCAGGGGCCTCCACATGGGATTGTACACGATTGCCCCAACCCAAAATACGCAATATAAACCACCATAAAAAATTATGAAATACGAGACCTGTGAATGAGGAAACGTGTTGTCCGAGGGTTCAAATCAAACTTTTATTAACTCATCAATGGGGCAGCTGTTAGAAACCACAGGTCCCACATAGAGTCAACCTTACAACCACTCCTCCCCACCCCCCCCACAGTTTACTAGGCTTCAGTTATGAATGAACACAGTCAGTGATTGGTACCGATCACTAGTTGTGTACATCCAGGAAAGGAAGGGGCTGGTAAATGTGACATATTTATCACCCCTATTGGGGGGGGGGGAGTGATGGGAGCCCAGTCGGGGTTCCTGGTGGGGGTCTTGGGCCTAGGGACCCTCATCGACTTGTAGCTGGCAACCATGGACTGACTGCCTTTGTGGATCATTGCCAACTTATGGACTCTAAAGGACTTGCACTACCTCTTGTGGATTTGTTGCCTGAATGGACTTCTGACCTGCCTTCCCCCTAAGGTTTTCACACTTTATGGGGCACTTGGAGAACATTGTACAGGGATTTATGGAAAATGTCTTTTTGAGAACGGTCACTCTTTCTGCAAACTACATCAGTAAAGGATCTCTGTTTATTCTCTTGCTTTGCCTGGTCTGAAGTCTCTTAAAGGGTGTGCATGCGCAGCGTATCACAAGACCACGCCTTGCAACACAACTAGGGAGCTGAGTTGGAGGAAGATACAGTACATGGGTCTAACACAGAGTGCTCTCCAGAGGAAGCTAATGTGTTGTTGCTAAAGACTACAGTGTCTGTGTCACATGCAATGCAGCCAATCAGCCAGGAGATAGGTGACATGGCAAAGGTGAGGGTCACTCTGGTAGTGGAGGGGTTTAAGGGCTTAGCACCTCCACTAGCAGCTTTCTCCCCATTCTTTGGGACCGGACAGAGTCCCTAGGGACATTAAGGCAGGGCAAAAGGGGCAGCTGCCCTGAGCCTAGTCATTTTTGTGGGGCTCAAAGCAGCTTTCCCACATTTGCTAGTTGTCCCAAGTTATACCCTTGTCCCTTGAAGTCTTCCTCCTGCGCTGTGTCCTGATATCTCAATGTGAAGTGCTGTCACTTAAACTGCCCTATTGCAGTGTACAGATGACCCAGACCATGTCAGCATTCACATGTAGTTAAATAGCTGGCACTGATATGTAAATACCAGCAACATTTACCCCCCCCCCTTCCCGAGGTTTCATCCACCATCACCTCTGCTGAATGCTGCCCACTGTGGAGGTAAACAGGGGGATGCTTAAAAGTCCTGCCTGTAACTGTGGTCATTGAGCCTACCATCAATCTGTTCTGCAAAGGTAAGCAAAGTGGTCTGGGTGGGGTGTACAGAGGTAGGCAGAGAAGGAATTACAATTTGGGGTGCACAGGTGAGCAAGGAGGGGATATACAGAGGTAAGGAAGGTGGGTGAATAGATGAGCAGAGCAGGCATGTAGAGTTAAGGTCGGGGGTTGGGGTGCAGAGGTTATTAATTACTGAGCCGTATTGATGTGCTGCAACCTCTAGCAACCAATCAGTTAGCTGTAATGATGTGCTGAAACCTCTAGCAACCAATCAGTGAGCGGTAATGAAGTGCATTAACCTATAGCAATCAGTGAGCGGTAAAGCTGTGCAGGAAGCTCCATCAACCAATCAGTAGTAATGATGTGCAGTAACCTCTAGCAAGCAATCAGTGAGCAGTAAGGCTGTGCAGTAAGCTCTAGCAACCAATCAGTGGTGGTAAGGATGTGCTGTAACCTCTAGCAACCAGTGAGCAGTAATGGTGTGCAACAACCTCTAGCAACTAATCAGTGAGCCGTAGTGTGTGCTGTAACCTTTAGCAACAAATCAGTGAGCCGTAGTGTGTGCTGTAACTTTTAGCAACCAATCAGTGAGCAGTAATGATACGCTGTAACATCTGGCAACCAGCTGCAATCACTGCCCGATCTGCTGCAATAAACTGACTTTGAGTCTAACTGCTATTTACTGTTTGTCTCAGAGCAGTTGGAGAGCGACATTGCATGGGGGGGAGGGGCAATAAAATGTTTGCCCCGGGTCCAAACTATAATAAAGATGTCTCTGGATGTAGAGGAGCCCCGGGAGAATAGGAACAAGCACAGAGAATGGACAAAAAAGAGCGTTTTCTGTATTCCATAGCAACCATGGGATTAGTCCCTGGTAGAGGGGTGAGATTTCTTGCTGGATTGGTGGAGACCGGTACTAATATGAAGAGAGATTTGGGAATGGTTCTGTATTTGTTGGACAGAACGTTGCATTGAGTTTGTGTACTTTGTTCTTCCTGTTTATGAAGCCATCTTGTACAATAAAAGAGATAAAGAAGGCCGCTTTGCCTCCATGTAATGCTGGGCGTCACCAACCGCAGAGAGTCGGTGCAATTGCTGCAAGGTGGCCGGTAGGTGGGCACAGCGGTAAAGCTCTACAATGGTGCAAGCCCAGGAAATGGAACATGTTGACTCTCCTGGTCCTGGACCTGGTCTCTACCTGGAGAAAAACTGAAAGCAGCCGGTTTCGGAGGATAGAGGAGACAGAAAAACAACAGGTTGTACACCAGAGGGGTATGGAGGAGACAGAGCAGCAGTCAGTGGACCAGGAGGGTCCATAGAGGAGGCAAAATGGCAACAGAGTGTAGACCAGGGAGATATAGAGGAGGCAGAATGGTAACAGGTTGTGGACCCGGGGGGAGGGATTGTTAGAAGGTATAGAAGCGGCAAAATGGCAACAGGCTTTGGACCAGGGGGGTACAGTAGAGGGAGAATGGTAGCAGGTTGTGGACCAGGGGGGTTATAGAGGAGGCATAATGGTAACAGGTTGTGGACCTGGGGGGGGGGGGTGTATAGAAGGTATAGAAGAGGCAAAATGGCAATAGGCTGTGGACCAGGGGGGTACAGAGGAGGCAGAATGGTAACAGGTTGTGGACCCAGGGGGCGGGGGTGTGTGTGTATAGAAGGTATAGAAGAGGCAAAATGGCATCAGGCTGTGGACCCGGGGGGGGGGTATATAGAAGGTATAGAAGAGGCAAAATGGCAACAGGCTGTGGACCAGGGGGGTACAGAGGAGGCAGAAGGCAACAGGCTATGGACCAGGGGGGTACAGAGGAGGCAGAAGGCAACAGGCTGTGGACTAGGGGGGGTGCAGAGGAGGCAGAAGACAACAGGCTGTGGACCAGGGGGGTACAGAGGAGGCAGAAGGCAACAGGCTGTGGAACAGGGAGGTTTATAGAGGAGGTATAATGACAACAGTGTGTGGACTGGGGTATGGTGGAGGCAGAGTAGCTGGAGGTGGAAGGGGGAGAGGAGAGACAGCTGACCATGCAACATTGGGAGAGGGAGGAGACTAAATGTGAGAGAGAAAAGATAGAAATAGATGGTCTGGGCTGATCACTCAATTCATGTGTAGCACCATCTTAGTCAGCTAGGGGGAGCTAGACTCCAATTGTTAGTGAGGAGGGTTGAGTAGCAGCCTGGGTTTGATGGCTCATTGTGGTTAGAGCTGAATGGCTCTGCAGACCAGCTCTCTGGAATTTCCCCCCCCCCCCCGCTCTAAAACTTTGGAGAAAGATCTAAAAGAAGTGAGTGGATCCGAGGATTGGCTGGTCTGTACTTTTAGTGGATCCTGGCCAATCCCAAAAAGGAGGCTTGGAAAGGGACTAGGACAACCTTTATGAGTAATCAAGCCTGCTCAGCTGCAGGAGAGTTCGGGTGGATGATGTAAGAGAGGCAGAGATGTAGGAGCCTGGGAGGGGGCCCAACAACAGCAAATGAACAGCTTTCTCACTAGTCTCTCAATAGCAGCTTCTCTGGAGATAGCTGGAGATGTTGGTATGTCTAAGGCCCCATTGATGTAGACCATACGGCAGGTTTTCTCAATCAACGTTCCTTTAGAATGGGAACTCCAGGATTCCTCCAGAGGTTTCTAGGGATTCCTTGAGCAATTTATGACTCTCAGATAAGTTCCCACTAACCCTATTGATCTTTTTAGCTATCTGTACGGGAGTAATACTTCCCACTGACCCCCAATGTAAGGGACATTCTTCCCACTGACCCCCAATGTAAGGGACATTCTTCCGACTAACCCCCAATGTAAGGGACATTCTTCCCACTGACCCCCAATGTAAGGGACATTCTTCCCACTGACCCCCAATGTAAGGGACATTCTTCCCAATGACCCCCCAATGTAAGGGACATTCTTCCCACTGATCACCAATGTAAGGGACATTCTTCCTACTGACCCCCCAATGTAAGGGACATTCTTCCCACTGACCCCCAATGTAAGGGACATTCTTCCCAATGACCCCCCAATGTAAGGGACATTCTTCCCACTGATCACCAATGTAAGGGACATTCTTCCTACTGACCCCCAATGTAAGGGACATTCTTCCCACTGATCCCCAATGTAAGGAACATTCTTCCCAACCGACCACCAATGTAAGGGATATTCTTCCCACTGACCCCCAATGTAAGGGACATTCTTCCCACCGACCCCCAATGTAAGGGACATTCTTCCCACTGAACCCCAATGTAAGGGACATTCTTCCCACTGAACTCCAATGTTAAGGGACATTCTTCCCACCGACCCCCAATGTAAGGGACATTCTTCCCACCGACCACCGATGTAAGGGACATTCTTCCCATCGACCCCCAATGTAAGGGACATTCTTCCCATCGACCCCCAATGTAAAGGGACATTCTTTCCCATCGACCCCCAATGTAAGGGACATTCTTCCCACCGACCCACAATGTAAGGGACATTCCTCCCACCGACCCCCAATGTAAGGGACATTCTTCCCACTGACCCCCAATGTAAGAGACATTCTTCACACCCTCCACCTCCAATGTAAGGGACATTTTTCCACACCGACCCTCCAATGTAAGGGACATTCTTCCCACCGACCACCAATGTAAGGGACAATCTTCCCACTGACCCCCAATGTAAGGGACATTCTTCCCACTGACCCCAATGTAAGATGACATTCTTCCCACTGATCCCCCAATGTAAGGGACATTCTTCCCACTGACCCCCAATGTAAGGGACATTCTTCCCACTGACCCCCAATGTAAGGGACATTCTTCCCACTGACCACCAATGTAAGGGACATTCTTCCCACTGACCCCAATGTAAGGGACATTCTTCCCACTGACCCCAATGTAAGGGACATTCTTCCCACTGACCCCCAATGTAAAGGGACATTCTTCCCACTGAGCACCAATGTAAGGGACATTTTTCCCACTGAGGCACCAATGTAAGGGACATTCTTCCCACCGACCCCCAATGTAAGGGCATTTCTTCCCACTGACCCCCAATGTAAGGGGCATTTCCCCCCCTGACCCCCAATGTAAGGGACATTCTTCCCACCGACCACCAATGTAAGGGACATTCTTCCCACTGACCCCAATGTAAGGGACATTCTTCCCACTGACCCCAATGTAAGGGACATTCTTCCCACTGACCCCCAAATACATAAGGGGGGGGGGTATGATCTCCATGTATAATACATAAGGGGGGGATATGATCTCCATGTATAATACATAAGGAGGGATATGATCTCCATGTATAATACAAAAGGGGGGGGATATGATCTCCATGTATAATACATAAGGGGGGATATGATCTCCGTGTTTAATACATAAGGGGGATATGATCTCCATGTATAATACATAAGGGGGGGATATGATCTCCATGTATAATACATAAGGGGGGATATGATCTCCCATGTATAATACATAAGGGGAATATGATCACCATGTATAATTTACATAAGGGGGGATATGATCTCCATGTATAATACATAAGGGGGGGGATATGATCTCCATGTATAATACATAAAGGGGGGATATGATCTCCATGTATAATACATAAGGGGGGGATATGATCTCCATGTATAATACATAAGGAGGAGGATATGATCTCCATGTATAATACATAAGGGGGGATATGATCTCCATAAGGGGGATATGATCTCCATGTATACATAAGGGGGGGATATGATCTCCATGTATAATACATAAGGGGGGATATGATCTCCATGTATAATACATAAGGGGGGATATGATCTCCATGTATAATACATAAGGGGGGGATATGATCTCCATGTATAATACATAAGGGGGGGATATGATCTCCATGTATAATACATAAGGGGGATATGATCTCCATGTATAATACATAAGGGGGGATATGATCTCCATGTATAATACATAAGGGGGGATATGATCTCCATGTATAATACATAAGGGGGGATATGATCTCCATGTATAATACATAAGGGGGGAATATGATCTCCATGTATAATACATAAGGGGGATATGATCTCCATGTATAATACATAAGGGGGGATATGATCTCCATGTATAGATACATAAGGGGGGATATGATCTCCATGTATAATACATAAGGGGGGATATGATCTCCATGTATAATACATAAGGGGGGGATATGATCTCCATGTATAATACATAATAAGGGGGGATATGATCTCCATGTATAATACATAAGGGGGGGGGATATGATCTCCATGTATAATACATAAGGGGGGATATGATCTCCATGTATAATACATAAGGGGGATATGATCTCCATGTATAATACATAAGGGGGGATATGATCTCCATGTATAATACATAAGGGGGATATGATCTCCATGTATAATACATAAGGGGGGATATGATCACCATGTATAATACATAAGGGGGATATGATCTCCATGTATAATACATAAGGGGGATATGATCTCCATGTATAATACATCTAGGGGGGAATATGATCTCCATGTATAATACATAAAGGGGGGATATGATCTCCATGTATAATACATAAGGGGGATATGATCTCCATGTATAATACATAAGGGGGGGATATGATCTCCATGTATAATACATAAGGGGGGCTATATGATCTCCATGTATAATACATAAGGGGGGGATATGATCTCCATGTATAATACATAAGGGGGGATATGATCTCCATGTATAATACATAAGGGGGATATGATCTCCATGTATAATACATAAGGGGGGATATGATCTCCATGTATAATACATAAGGGGGGGATATGATCTCCATGTATAATACATAAGGGGGGGATATGATCTCCATGTATAATACATAAAGGGGGATATGATCTCCATGTATAATACATAAGGGGGGATATGATCTCCATGTATAATACATAAGGGGGGATATGATCTCCATGTATAATACATAAGGGGGGGATATGATCTCCATGTATAATACATAAGGGGGGGATATGATCTCCATGTATAATACATAAGGGGGGATATGATCTCCATGTATAATACATAAGGGGGGATATGATCTCCATGTATAATACATAAGGGGGATATGATCTCCATGTATAATACATAAGGGGGATATGATCTCCATGTATAATACATAAGGGGGGATATGATCTCCATGTATAATACATAAGGGGGGATATGATCTCCATGTATAATACATAAGGGGGGATATGATCTCCATGTATAATACATAAGGGGGGATATGATCTCCATGTATAATACATAAGGGGGGATATGATCTCCATGTATAATACATAAGGGGGGGATATGATCTCCATGTATAAAATACATAAGGGGGGATATGATCTCCATGTATAATACATAAGGGGGGGATATGATCTCCATGTATAATACATAAGGGGGGGATATGATCTCCATGTATAATACATAAGGGGGGATATGATCTCCATGTATAATACATAAGGGGGGATATGATCTCCATGTATAATACATAAGGGGGGATATGATCTCCATGTATAATACATAAGGGGGATATGATCTCCATGTATAATACATAAGGGGGATATGATCTCCATGTATAATACATAAGGGGGGATATGATCTCCATGTATAATACATAAGGGGGGATATGATCTCCATGTATAATACATAAGGGGGGGATATGATCTCCATGTATAATACATAAGGGGGATATGATCTCCATGTATAATACATAAGGGGGATATGATCTCCATGTATAATACATAAGGGGGGGATATGATCTCCATGTATAATACATAAGGGGGGGATATGATCTCCATGCATAATACATAAGGGGGATATGATCTCCATGTATAATACATAAGGGGGGATATGATTTCCATGTATAATACATAAGGGGGGGATATGATCTCCATGTATAATACATAAGGGGGGATATGATCTCCATGTATAATACATAAGGGGGGATATGATCTCCATGTATAATACATAAGGGGGATATGATCTCCATGTATAATACATAAGGGGGGATATGATCTCCATGTATAATACATAAGGGGGGATATGATCTCCATGTATAATACATAAGGGGGATATGATCTCCATGTATAATACATAAGGGGGGGATATGATCTCCATGTATAATACATAAGGGGGATATGATCTCCATGTATAATACATAAGGGGGGATATGATCTCCTTGTATAATACATAAGGGGGATATGATCTCCATGTATAATACATAAGGGGGGATATGATCTCCATGTATAATACATAAAGGGGGGATATGATCTCCATGTATAATACATAAGGGCGGTATACTTTTTATTATTACTATACAGAACTTATATAGCGTCGACATTTGCTCAGTGCTTTACATTATGGAGGGACAGTACAGTAACAATACAGTTCATTACAGGAGGGATTAGAGGGCCCTGCTCCTTGGAGCTTACAATCTAGGAGGGAGGGGATAGTGGTACAAGAGATAATTAGCTGTGGGGGATGGAGTGGTTGGAAGAGTAGAGGATTCCAGTATTAGCTGGGGTCAGGGTAGGCTTCCCTGAAGAGATGGGTTTTCAGAGTGCACCTAAAAGTGAGCAGAATAGGCGATAGCCTGATAGATTGTGGCAGGGAGTTCCAGAGGATGGGAGAAGCCCTTGAGAAATCCTGGAGACGAGCATGGGAGGAGGAGACAAGGGAGCTAGAGAGTAGGAGGTCTTGTGAGGAGCGGAGTGTACGGTTTGGGTGGCACTTGGAGACAAGGTCGGTGATGTAGTTAGGGGCAGTTTTGTGAATGGCTTTATATGTCAGTGTTAGTGTTTTGAATTTTATCCGTTGGGCAATTGGAGCCAGTGGAGGGATTGGCAGAGAGAGGTGAAAGACACTGAGTGGAAGCCAGTGGAGGGATTGGCAGAGAGGGGTGGAGGACACTGAATGGAGGCCAGAGGAGGGATTGGCAGAGAGGGGTGGAGGACACTGAGTGGAGGCCAGTGAAGGGATTGGCAGAGAGAGGTGGAGGACACTGAGTGGATGCCAGTGGAGGGATTGGTGGAGAGGGGTGGAGGACACTGAATGGAGGCCAGTGGAGGGATTGGCAGAGAGGGGTGGAGGACACTGAATGGAGGTCAGTGGAGGGATTGGCAGAGAGGGGTGGAGAACACTGAATGGAGGTCAGTGGAGGCTTTGGCAGAGATGGGTGGAAGACACTGAGTGGAGGCCAGTGGAGGGATTGGCAGAGAGTGGCGTTAGATACAGAACGGTTAGAAAGGTGAATGAGTCTGGCAGCAGCATTCATGATAAACTGAAGCGGGGATAGCCTGCAATGAGGTCGGCCAATGAGGGAGAGTTACAGTAGTCAAGGCGTGATATAACAAGGGAGTGAATGAGTTGCTTAGTGGTTTCCGGGGTTAGGAACGGCCGAATCTTGGAGATGTTGCGGAGGTGAAGTCTATATCAGTTTGTCAATAACTGGATCTGGGGCTAAAAGGACAGATTGGAGTCTAGGAATACACCTATTACCCTGGCGTTAGGGGTGGGACTGATGATAGTGTTGTTGATCTTGATGGAGAAGTCAGGGGAGGGGGCACGGGCAGGGGGGAATACTAGGAGCTCAGTTTTGGAAAGGTTGAGTTTGAGGAAGTGGAGTGACATCCAGTACCGATATGTCACTAAGTAGACTGGTGATGCGATTGGAGAGTGAGGGGGTGAGGTGAGGGGTAGAGAGATAGGTTTGTGTGTCATCGGCATAGAGATGGTACTTAAAGCCACAGGAGTTTATCAATTGGCCAAGGGAGGAGGTGTAGATGGAGAAGAGAAGGGTCCAAGGACAGAATCTTGAGGGACCCCTACAGAGAAAGAGAGTAAAGAGGAAGTGGTAGCAGTATAGGTAACACTGAAGGAGATAGATAGGAGGAGAACCAGGAGAGAGCGGAGTCTCTGAGGCCAAGAGAGTGTAGTTTTTTGAGGAGGAGGGGGTGGTCGACCGTGTCAAAAGCTGCAGAGAGGTCAAGTAGTAGGAGTACTGTATAGTGGCCATTAGTTTTGGCGGTTAGCAGGTCGTTGGAGAGTTTGAGTAGGGCAGTTCTCAGTGGTTGAGGAATACAGTTGCAAGAAAAAGTATGTGAACCCCTTGGGATTACGTGGAGTTTTGCATGAATTGGGCATAAAATGTGCTCTGAACGTCATCTAAGTCACAACAATAGAAGAACACAGTCTGCTGAACATAATACTACACAAACATTAGATGTTGCCATGGTTTAATTGCACATAACATGTAAACATTCACAGTGCAGGGAGGAAAAAGTATGTGAACCTTTGGACTTAATAACTGGTTGACCCTCCTTTGGCAGCAATAACCTCAACCAAACGTTTCCTGTAGTTGCAGATCAGACCTGCACAACGATCTGGAGTCATTTTGGACCACTCCTCTTCACAAAACTGTTTCAGTGTAGCAATATTCTTGGAATGTCTGGTGTGAATCGCTCTCTTAAGGTCATGCCACAGCATTTCAATCGGGTTGAGGTCAGGACTCTGACTGGGCCACTCCAGAAGGCGTATTCTGTGCTGTTTCAGCCATTGTTTTGTTGAATGACTTGTATGCTTTGGGTCATTGTCCTGTTGCATCACCCATCCTCTGCGGAGCTTCAGTTGGCGGACAGATGGTCGTACGTTTTCCTGCAAAATGTCTTGATAAACTCTGGAATTCATTTTCCCATCAATGACAACAATCCGTCCAGGCCCTGAGGCAGCAAAGCAGCCCCAAACCATGATGCTCCCTCCGCCATGTTTCACAGTGGGGATGAGGTTTTGATGTTGGTGTGCTGTGCCTTTTTTTCTCCACACATAGTGTTGTGTGTTCTTCCCAAACAACTCAATCTTGGTGTCATCTGTCCGCAGTATATTCTGCCAGTAGTGCTGTGGAACATCCAGGTGCTCTTTTGTAAACTTCAAACGTGCTGCAATATTCTTTTTGGCCAGCAATGGCTTCCTCCGTGGTGTCCTCCCATGTACTCCATTCTTGTTTAATGTTTTCCTTATTGTAGAAGTGTCAACAAAAATGTTATCATGTGCCAGAGATTTCTGTAGGTCTTTAGCTGACACTCTGGGATTCTTCTTTACCTCATGCAGCATTCTGAGCTGTGCTCTTGCAGTCATTTTTACAGGACGACCGTGCCTAGGGAGAGTAGCAACAGTGCTAAACTTTCTCCATTTGTAGACAGTCTGTCTTATCCGTGGACACATGAACATCAAGGCTCAAGGAGATACTTTTGTAACCCTTTCCAGCTTCATGCAAGTCAACAATTCTTGATGGTAGGTCTTCTGAGAGCTCTTTTCTGCGAGGCATGGTTCACATCAGACAGTGCTTCTTGAAACCAGCAAACCCAAAACAGGTGTCAGCAACACATCCAATATCATCACACTGATTGGAGTCAAGGTTGGCTCACTCCTGGCTCCAATTAGCTCTGGGAGAAGTCCTTAAGCTAGGGCCTCACATACTTTTTCCTCCCTGCACTGTGAATGTTTACATGTTATGTGCAATTAAACCATGGCAACATCTAATGTTTGTGTAGTATTATGTTCAGCAGACTGTGTTCTTCTATTGTTGTGACTTAGATGACGTTCAGAGCACATTTTATGCCCAATTCATGCAAAACTCCACGGAATCCCAAGGGGTTCACATACTTTTTCTTGCAACTGTATACCCAAGGCTCAAATAATGAGAGTGAGGAGGAATTGTAGTCGGGATGTTGTGTTTTGAGCTCAGGCGGATATTTTGGTAAATAGATTTATGGATAAGGGTTATAAATTAGATAAACTGAAGGATATAGTTGACCAGGTTCAATTAATCCCCAGAGACCAGTTGTTGGTTGAGAAACCTAAACCAGCCCCAAATGATAGACATCAGTGGGGGTTTATTTCTAATTACCATATACACTATAAGGCCGCTGAGGATATTTTTTATAAACATTGGCACTAGAGATGAGCGAATTATTCAAAAATTCGATTCGGCTGATTCGCCGAATTTGCGGGAGAAATTCGATTCGATGCGAATTTATTCGCTGCGAATTTAACTTATAAAAAGGGTGTTTCTAGGCTTCAGAGAGCCTTTATATTAGTGCAGAACACTGTACCTTTAATTTAAATGCCCTTGGAGTCTGCTGGGGAAGAGAAATAATACTGACAGTCAGTATGACATGCAGATGAGTGCCGTCGATCTTAGAATCACCGCACACTTCACTCATTTGGGCAGTCACGGGGCACGACGAAGAAGAAGAAGAAGAAGAAGAAGAAGAATGAAAAGAAGAATGAAAAGAAGAAGAAGAAGAATGAAAAGAAGAAGAAGAAGAATGAAAAGAAGAATGAAAAGAAGAAGAAGAATGAAAAGAAGAAGAAGAAGAATGAAAAGAAGAATGAAAAGAAGAAAGAAGAAGAATGAAAAGAAGAATGAGAAGAAGAATGAAAAGAAGAATGAGAAGAATGAAAAGAAGAATGAAAAGAAGAAGAAGAAGAATGAAAAGAAGAAGAAGAATGAAAAGAAGAATGAAAAGAAGAAGAAGAAGAAGAATGAAAAGAAGAGGAAGAATGAAAAGAAGAATGAAAAGAAGAAGAAGAATGAAAAGAAGAATGAAAAGAAGAAGAAGAAGAATGAAAAGAAGAATGAAAAGAAGAAGAAGAATGAAAAGAAGAATGAAAAGAAGAAGAAGAAGAATGAAAAGAAGAAGAAGAAGAATGAAAAGAAGAGAAGAAGAATGAAAAGAAGAATGAAAAGAATGAAGAAGAAGAATGAAAAGAAGAAGAAGAAGAATGAAAAGAAGAAGAAGAAGAATGAAAAGAAGAATGAAAAGAAGAAGAAGAATGAAAAGAAGAAGAAGAAGAATGAAAAGAAGAATGAGAAGAAGAATGAAAAGAAGAATGAAAAGAAGAAGAAGAAGAATGAAAAGAAGAATGAGAAGAATGAAAAGAAGAATGAAAAGAAGAAGAAGAAGAATGAAAAGAAGAATGAGAAGAATGAAAAGAAGAATGAAAAGAAGAAGAAGAAGAATGAAAAGAAGAAGAAGAAGAATGAAAAGAAGAATGAAAAGAAGAAGAAGAAGAATGAAAAAAAGAAGAAGAAGAATGAAAAAAGAAGAGGAATGAAAAGAAGAAGAATGAAAAGAAGAAGAAGAAGAATGAAAAGAAGAAGAAGAATGAAAAGAAGAAGAATTCCAGTACAGCAAAAAGTGTATCTGCAGAGAGCTCCGCTATTTCTGACAGTTCTCTGACAGTTCCTTCACATTTACAGCGGTTGAAACATTGTATCTATTTATTTCCGAATAAAAACATCTGTATCCTAAATGGAAACAAATAGATACAATGTTTCAACCGCTGTAAATGTGAAGGAACTGTCAGAGAACTGTCAGAAATAGCGGAGCTCTCTGCAGTGACACTTTTTGCCGGCTGATCGGGAAAAATTCGATTCGTGCACCTGAAGTATGCTAAAATTCGGATTCGGTGCGAATCGAATTTTTCCTAATATTCGAAACGAATTCCACTTCGCCAGGTTCGTTTCGCTCATCTCTAATTGGCACATTTTGAGGCTTGATAAATTAGGGAATGTTATTCCCAAGAAACCAGTATTCATTTATAGGAAGGCCCCTACTATTGGAGATAAAATAGTCCAGAAAATTCTGGATCCCCCCAAGACTTTGAATATGTTTAAAGATAGAAAAGGTTTTAATCCTTGTAAAAAAATGTACTGCGTGTAGTTTGGCTAAACATAAAATTTAACCACTTGACCTCCTGAGGATTTACCCCCCTTAATGACCACGCCTCTTTTTGCTACTCGGCGCTGCACTAATTCAACTGACAATTGCGCGGTCATGCAATGCTGCACCCAAACTAAATTTACGTCCTTTTTTTCACACAAATAGAGCTTTCTTTCGGTGGTATTTGATCACCTGTGCACTTTTTATTTTTCACGCTATAAACAAAAAAAGGCCAAAAATTTTAAAGAAAAACAATATTTTTTACTTTCAGCTATAAAAAATATATAGTAAACTCAAAGTTGGTTATAAATTTAGGCCAAAATATATTCTGCTCCATGTTTTTGGTAAAAAAAAAATCCCAATGCGTGTATATTGATTGCTTTTGTGTGAAGTTATATAGCGTCTACAAACTATGGTATAAATACTGCAATTTACACCATTTTTTTGCTATACAGCGCTGCGCTAGATTAACAGACAATTGCGCGGTCATGCAATACGGTACATAAATGAAATTTACATCCTTTTTTTCCCCACAAATTGAGCTTTCTTTTGGTGGTATTTGATCACCTGTGCGGTTTTTATTTTTTGCGCTATAAAAAAAAGGCTGACAATTTTGAGGAAAAAAAAAACAATATTTTGGACTTTTTGCTATA